CCCCCCCGCACAGCCAGGTGACGTCAGGAACAGCCGTTATAAATCCAGCCAGTAGGATCGCAGTGCGTTGACTAAACTCCGAGTGTCTCTCTCCTTCCTCTCTCACTCTCTCTGCAGCCTCACACTCTTCTCTCTCTCCCTCTCCCTCGCTCTGCCTCTCACACACTCACCCCTGCTCGCTGCTGCAGACATGGCCGAGGCTTTCGTTGGCACGTGGAACCTGAAGGAGAGCGAGAAGTTTGATGATTACATGAAGGAGCTGGGTGAGTTTGTGTGTGTTTTCGTAGTAGAATGTACTTGGGTGTGCGCATGCGCGTGACATGAGGACGCAATGGTGCCAGTGCTGCATGTGAGCACATGTGAAGGATGAGGATGTATGAACGCTGTACGGTGTGTGTGTTTGTAAATGCAGAGCATGGGCAAAGAAGCAAGGGGAGGGAATGAAGAGGCAGATAAGGGAGGAAGATGAAGAATGAAAGAATGGAGATAGAGGGAGAACAAGGGTGGAGAGGGAGTGGGGCAGAGAGAGAGAGAAAGAGGAGAGGAGAAGGGGACCGGGGGGAGGTAAAGTGGTTGACCGCATGGTTTAAGTGCTGAGAATGAGGGAGGGGCAGAAAATCAAGCCACTGTGAGAAAAATCTGAATGACAAATCACACACATTCTTCTCCTGGTGTTAGTGAGGACCCTCATTGACACAATGCATTTCCTAACCCCTTCCCCAACCTTAACCAGCGCAACTAAACCTAAACCTTTTTCCTAGACTAGTTAGCTTTGAACTAAACCTGATCCTTACCCTAACTCAATCTTATCCTCACCTTGAACAAAAACCTCATCCTTACTTTAAATTCAACTTAATCCGTACCCTAACCTAAACCCATACCTTGCCTCAAACTACCCGTAATCCTTACCTTAAACTAAACCTAACCCTTACTTTAAAGTAAACCCAATCCTTACCCTTACCCTTAAACCAAAAATGAGGACCAGCCAAAGTGTCCTCACCCTGTAAGATCATGCGCAGGATGGTCCTCACAAGTACAGAGGGCTATATAGCCCATGAGCACAATGTGGGTGACCTTCGCTGAAAGCTGTTCATTGTTTGAAGCCATGGGGGGGGGGGGGGTGTTGAATATTAAGGAGGATCCAGTGCCAAGGAACTAATGGGACGAGAAAGTAGAAATGAAGTGGTGTTAGTGATTTCTCATGACCAAGGACCACTCCGGGTAATGTGACCATCAAAACCAAAGACCACTCAACCCCAGTCTACACACACACACATACACACACATACACACAGCAAATTATATAGAAACCGGATTGTCGACCTGACATTCTGTTGTTGCAGTAGTAGTGGGTGTAAATCACCTTGAACCAATGAACTGAACTTTCATGATCCCTCACACAGTGGCACACCAACAGTGAAGGTAAAGGAAGTGATTAGTTGCACAGACACATGCCTGAACAGGTCAACAGTACTCTATGTTTGAAGAACACGCAGTGGGTCAGGGCAGCAGACAAACAAAAGATTACAGCATATGTCAGGTGAAGGAGGGCTGGAGGGCAAACCCACAACTACTTCTTTCAACTTCAACCAATGAAGCACTTTGGTAAAATTTATCAAAAGATTATTTACTTCAATATTCAACAACGGTAATATGGTGGTTGTATTTGTCAGAGGGTCATATCTCAACAAATTATTGGATAGAATACTGCTACTACGTATGTATTCCCTGATTTTGCTCTAGCGCCACCAGCAGGCTGATTTTGAAATATCTATTTCTTGGATTTGAAAAATTATCTAGGTCGCATGTAGCTTGCTTGTGCTATCCATCTTATCCTAGGGCATTTTAGCTTGACGCACACTTGTTCGCGCTACCCCTAACCCTAACCCTGTTTGCTGTCTTTATTTGTTAAGCATTAAAGTTCGTGGTGTAGTGACGCACTTGTATGGGAGGAGCTGTTAGTATTGACCATGCAGGGCTCCGGGCAGGCGTCCATGTACCCACCAACGCGTTGTGTGCATAGTGTGTGCATGTTCCAGAAAACCAAATTCATGTTTGATTTGATTGTGGAATTGAGTCCTGGTGATAAATTAGTTAAATGATAGAAATTAGCCTTTCACAGACATATCAGTGGTTGTTGGCCAATATTCGGCAATATGATTATAGTTTTTCAGAATAAATAAGTGCAGAAATGTATTTATGTTTAAATCTTTCAATTCTTTTCGTTTATAAATAGTTATTTACAAAATTACTTATAAGTCATTTTATCATTAAACTGTAAAGTATATGTTATTATGAATTTAAAGTAATTATCTTTAAATTATATATCAAATCCCCCCACTGACCAGCTTTTGTTTTCTTCAGGTGTGGGTTACGCCACCCGTAAGTTGGGAGGCCTGACCAAGCCCACTACCATTATCTCAGTGGATGGTGATACCGTGACTCTGAAGACCCAGAGCTCCGTCAAGAACACAGAGCTCATCTTCAAGCTGGATGAGGAGTTCGACGAGACCACCGCTGATGACAGGAAGGTTAAGGTGAGAGGTCAAAGGCCAGGTTGCTCATAGACGAGACTTTGCAATGTTGTTAATTTGAAAAGAGGGGTTTAAATAACTTTCTGTGAGGATTTATGACACAGTCATAACCTACAAAATGCTGCTGTAGCCATGAATGTAGCATGTGATGAGCAGGGAGTGATAATTCAGTCATGAGGCTCAACAAACAAGTGTGATTTGTCACAGTCGGGGCTCTCGTGCTTGTTTTAGACGTGAACATGAGGAAGGAGCTTCTGAGAGGTCAGAGGTGAAGGTCAGAGTTGAGATCTTGCAGCCCACATTCTGAAAGATGAAATGACACCGGCAGCCTCTTTTAAAGTAAAACTAAATTTAGAAAGCATTAAAACACCACATTTCATGGAAATTAAAATGAGATGTGTTGCCTTGAAGTGTTGAATAAGGCAGAAATAAATATAACATTAATGTTGATAAAAGCACATATAAAAGTTTTGAGTCAATGTTTTTTAGCATTGAAAACTTGACCCTCAAAAACCTGATGTGATGATTGAATTACAATGTTGATCAATGTCACTTTGTAACCAGGGACCTTTACACAATTCAATATATTCAATAAATAAATGATTTAAGGAATATAAAGTGACAAAAAGCAGGAACCCAAGTTAAGTACAAGTACCTCAAAATGATTTTGATGACGATGGTGAGATCCTGTGTGTATTAATTACATCTGTATATCTTTGTTTGTCTGCAGTCCATTGTAAAAATAGACAACGGGAAAATGGTGCACGTACAGAAGTGGGACGGCAAAGAGACCAGTCTGGTCAGAGAAGTCAACGGAAACGCCCTCACACTAGTGAGTCCTACAAACTCACATCTTCATATATATTTGTGTGTCTGTGTGCGTATTTGTTGTCTTAACATATCTTTCTTTCTCTCTCCATCACAGACACTTACAATCGGAGAAGTCGTTTGCACGCGTCACTATGTAAAAGCATAGTAAAAAACCCAACCCAGAGTCGCTCACCCTCCCCCCCGCATCATCTATTCATCTAAAGCTTCTGTGACATGATCTATGTTAACGGCACCTCAGCCCAGGCCGAGCAGCCGGACGTGGTGTGCGACTGATGCCGATTCCCCCTCTTCTCCCTTTCAGTATCTAAGATCAGCATTGCTCCTGTCCTTCTCTTTATACTGTTGTTCAAACACTGAATAAATTCCAATGAGTTTTTGTTTGTTTTGTTCTCTGAACAGGCCTGTGGATTTTTAAAAAAAGAAAATGTGTTGTGCATGGTGCCTATGATAAACCTGGAAGTGTTAAAAACGTTTTGTTTAACTATTGAGACCTGAAAAATAAAAATGAAAGTTTCCTCACAGTTGGATGAAGTGGTAAAACAATGAGTTCTTCTGAGAGTGTCTTTCTGTTGTGGCTGGTTGGATTACGAGCAGAAAATGTATTTAAATACTGTATAAAGTTTGTTTAACTGATCCTGAAGTCTACGAATATGAAAATAAGCAAATTCCATGTGTAAATTTTCACTTTTGAATTAAAAGCTCAAGTATCATGGAAATAATATGCTGGCAGCTGTGATCAGTAGATTGGATAAGGGATCTTATCATTGTACAAGGAGTCCTGATCTGGATGGGCAGCAATAAACTAAAATAGTTGCAAATATAAATACAAGTAGGGAAAATAAACACTTTAATACTAGTTTTCATGTTAAGTCACACACTAACCTTAAATTATGTCTTCACCTTGAAATGTAACAGTTTACAGTGTTATGTCCCCATAATTAGACTGTGAAAAAACATTTAGGTCCCAACAGTATGAGTGATACCTGAACTACACACAGAAAAATAAACTAAATCATAGCAAACTGATTAAAAACAAAGAACAAACAGGAACCAGTGGCTAAAAGGAATTATGTAAAACCAAAAGTGATGAAAATACTTCTTAAAGTTTTGTAACAACAGCCGAGAGGACGGTCATGGTAAGATTTCAATGTCTTGGTGGTGCATGAACGCAAAAGGCTGATTTACTCTGTTCAGGTAATTTGGACCTCGAAGAGAATTTTCTCTGATGGTGTTGTAGCTATTGGCCTGAAGTGAAACAGACTGGATTCAGGTACAGACGAGTGCTGCCTTCATGAACTCAAATCTGAACTTTGAAAAGGGAAGCGGAGAGTCTGACGTGTGGTTATGACTCAAAGTGTGGTGTAAGAGTTCAGTACTGCAACACGAGCGTGCATGTCTGAGTTAGTCCAGAGGTGTTACAGTTTTCCATCACAGCTGGATCTACACAGACTCAGGGGGGTTAATAATAGCTCCTTTGTGTGTGTGTGTGTGTGTGTGTGTGTGTGTGTGTGTGTGTGTGTGTTTGTATTGCCTTTACCCTGGCTAGTTGAGGGGAAAGTTTTGTCGAGGGTCAAGGCTTGATGTAGATGTGTTGGTACTGTTGTATGCTGTACTTTGTGCGACCGTGTGTGCCATCTAAATTTGGATCATTCCCTCCCACAGTAGATTGGTGTCATGTGTTCGGGACAGGTTGCCAACTAGTAGCGGGGTGACAGGGTGAAAGGTTCCAGGCAACCCACTGCTGTCACCTCCTATAGTTAGTCTGAGCTGAAAAGGTCATAAGAACGTTTGTTTACAGAGCAAAGAGTTGGAAATACCTATATAGGAGACCAAAGTAGGTGAAACCACATGTAAGTATCTAAAAGTAAAGACTGAATGTTTGAAAAGTCCAACTGTCACACAGGCCTGAACAATGAGACTCTCAAGATAACTGTATAGATTCACCTGTGCAGCCACTGTGTTTTCTCACCAAACACTGACACATGATCCATGAAGGTCATCCTGTCTGTCTGTCTGTATGAATGAATGATCCATGCTTCAAACATATGAACAGCATGCTTGACAATGGTTGGACTCCACCTTTGTCAAGATCACAAATGAAAATAGAAACAAATATTTTGCTCTGCTTTTACCGGATCTCTTTTACACAAACATATTAATAACATTCAGAAAGGAGCAAAAAAATTAAGATTAAGTCCCAAAATACGAACTTCAATTTGCAAAAATCAAGATAAGATAAAGATATTCCCATCAATGCATTTACAACATATAAAAATAATATAATTGAAATTGAAAGTTTATTCTTTACCCTATTAAGTTTTTTGATAAATGAATAATAGAATTATAAAGAATAAAGACAATTATTATTAAAGTTCATTTAACTTAAAATTACATTTGATCTCATCCTCTAACCATCAACATGTTTATCTGACCGCACTGCTGAGCCCTGAGTCCTCCCAAGCTGTCTGAATCCACATACATTCACTGTGGGAGCAGAGTATTCACTTTATCACCTGTACATTTTATCAGTTCAAAACATTGAATGTCCATATTTCGTGAAACAAATGTATTCATTATTTCCTTCATTTGACTCCAAACGACTATTCTGTCCTGGTATTCTGTTTTTCACACAACATAGAAAGATAAACGAGTTATTCCCTTATCGAAGCAGAAATTTTACTTTTACTTTTACTTCAAGGATATCCTGGGTGGGGGTGGGGGATGTAGACAAGTTTTACTTTCTCTGCTGAGTTTGTGTTTAAAGTATGTAAAGTATAATAATGAAATACAAGTTCACATTTCTAGCTCTGCAAGCTCTGCGTCCTGCTTTACGTTTAACCAGGCCTCTGCAAACAGGAGAAACGGGAGTGTAGGAAAATGAGGAGACTGATGAGCAAACGAGTCATTAGAGTCAGGGGAGTGCACTCACTCATTTACTGCTGCCAAACCTCTGCAGCTGGAAACAATCTATCATTCTACAATCCTACGTGCAGAAGCATGGGATCAGGGTCAAAACTGTAATGTGGCCTTATCTTGCCTTACATCAACAAAGGGTCATCTATTAGAAACGTGTTTGTGTGCAGCTTTTTACCTTTTAACCTTCATGTTGTGTAAATCCCTGAACCAAGCCCTGAGACACCTTCCCTCACACGAAAACATGAACTTAACATGACCCAGGGTGGACCACTGGATTCCACCTGAGAATTTCTCATGTCTGTGTGTGTGTGTGTGTGTGTGTGTGTGTGTTTTGGCTCCTGAGGCCGGATTCTAATAGCAACGTTACAAGTTCAAGGTCCAGGAACAAAGAGATCAAGAGGCATTTTTTTTAATCTTACAAATAAAAAACCTTTAATGGAGTTAACATGTTGACATGCAGGAAGAGGGGGGTGTATTGTGAGCAGGCCCCTGGATGAAAGATATATAAACAAACATGGATGCACACACAAGTGCACAATAAGCTACAGGCTACCTAAGGATATCATCGTAGCATGAGGTTCCTGACATGCTCGCTTGTGCTACATTACTTTTCCTGTTTGTGTCTTTACCTCTTCCTCTGTGCGTATTTGTGTAGCTTTTTGTGGATTATGTCAAGGTCTTTCATGTCCGACCCTCCCTAAGAAGTCAGCTTTACTGCCTCATTTCTGCTTAATGGATTTCCCAGAACGCTGGAAACCGGATATCTGTGAACAATATCTGGATTTCATGGGGGATAGACACTTGCTGCCATATTGCTTACACCTATCTGGTTTTGAATGATGTATGAACTCCTCCTGCAGGGGAGCCAGAGGTTTCATTAGGACAAGTAGGTGTTGTCGGCAGACATTTTCGTGTTTGAAGAAATTTCCTTCTGTACTATTTTGTTTCTTTTTAAAACTTGACAGGTCTAAACATGCTTCTAAGATCGTGGAGAGACATTAAGCAAAACTTTCCTCAATTTAAATTAAAGGATTCTATAATAAGCTGGTGGTGGAGAAATTATTTTAAGATACACAACTGGATGTCTGTCACTCTGTTGCTAACCACTTCCCTTTTTGCGTTTGTGTGATAGCTGCAGTGTGTGTATGTGTGTGTGTTTCAGCTGTGTTTGTGAGATTTATGTTTCTTATGCTTCTTCTTCTTCTTGTCATCTCTGTCATGAGTGGGGTCGTGGCGCCTCTTCTTAGTTTTGCACTCGCTGCTGTTGCTGCTGTCGCTCTCCGACTCCTTCCTCTCCCTCTTCCTCTTCTTCATTTTCTTCTCCTGGGGTATGAATAAACAAGAAGAAAAATGTTCTGTGAGGCATTAAAGGGAAGTTGAAGAGCGATGATAAAGGGATATGTTCAAAGCAGTTTCAGCTGTTTCAATACCTCAAAATTGAACAGTGGTTTTAAAGGACTTAGTCACACGGTTTTCTTTCAAACAACACTTCTGACCGTTCTAATAAAAATGCCTTGTATCTGTAGGCGTATGAAACCACAGACATGTGTTGTGGTGACACAAAAAACACATATTCACCTTCTTTTTCTTCTTCTTTTTGTCTGAGTCTTGCCTAAGCGCAGCTGTTGAGGGCTGCTGCTGTTGCTGCTGTTGCTGCTGTGGCTCTACATCATCCTCTTCAGGCAAAAGAGCGTACTGCAAGCCCGGAGCAGAGAAACAGTCCTTTGTAAAGTGACCTAAAAAAACAGTAACTATTTATTCAAATGACTGCAAAACAAAATCCCAGAAAAACGTTGTGGTTGCTTGCAGACTTTGTTAGGACAGTTGTATTTTTCATGTTGTTGTTTGTACCTTTGCAGCCACACTTTGCACACGTCGTGTTGAGCACAGCCTCCAGTGTGATCCTGTTGCCAGTTTGGTCTCTGAACAGCTTACGTCGCCTCGCATCCTGCCTGCAGTCACACACAGTCACAATCACACACACACACACACACACACCTGTACATGCACAGACAAACACACACAAATAACACAAATGTCAACACTTACTCTGCATTGACATTATTGGGGTCCAGGTCCCGCCCTGTTCCCTGATTGACAGCTTTCATTGAGAAGGACATCTTCACCTTATCATCACGAATCTGAGAAGTAGAGGAGAGAGCTGCAGCTGCATACAGTACTGTGTGTGTGTGTGTGTGTGTGTGTGTGTGTGTGTTGTTACCTCTTTCCCAATGACTTTAATCCACACCTGTTCACCCACATCGACAATTTCTGAGGCGTTCTCAACCCGTGAGGCCGACATCTCACTCACATGAACCAGGCCTGTGTGTGCAGCAGAAAAGAGGTTAGATGTTGGACATGCAAATACATCTTTATATTGCTGATGATGTAAGTAGAGCCTGACCACAAAGAACAGTCATCTATGAAATAGATACATTTACTTTTCAACCTGAACTTAACTTTCTTTTCAGGCTTCAAATTCAAGCTAAATATGCAGCATATTCTCAAACTTTCTGAGAACCAAGGTGCAGGTGGTGTAGATTTTTCCCAGTGCACTTTGCTCAGACTGCCCCTTAGTGGAGAAAATGAACAGCTGGAGTTTAGTTCCTACAGATCAAGGATAATTGTCGGACAATAAAAAAGTATTTGGTTAAAAAATGTAACCCCTTGTGTATACCTAGATTGTCAGAGGCCAAAACCTTCGCAACTTTCCCTCTTTACATGAACGTGATCTTATAGCTCTTTATAAAAAGCTCACACTGGGTTTAAAATTATTTGTAACAGTGGCATTAAAAGCCACATGTAAAAATGTATCATTATATTAAAAACATGGGATTGCACTGTTACATTTACTCTTCCTCATCATCTGTTATGTGGAGCATCATAACTACAAACTGCAGGATGCTGCCTACCTCATTTTAACAAAAAAGTTATTATTATAAAAAATGATCTTCTTCCAATCAGGGAAGTAATTATCTTAGATGCTGTGTAGTCTCTTCTCCTAATTTTGGCAAAGACATAAATGGCACAGATTGACACAGACACTATGCACTGGACTTAAGGAACCAAGGCCCTGCATCTTCTGCACTCTCTCTGCATTGGTTTGTCTCTGCTGATTCTTATTGTGTTACCCCTGGTGGTTTTCATACTTACTTATTTATATCATGTGGGATTCCTGCAGTCTTTCACTGCCCTATTTCTTCTTATTACTGTGGGTCATTCCACTCATTTGGGTTTTGTGGATGTTTTCGCTCTGAATAATTAAAACAGTAAAGATCTATCTAAAGATACATGAACTTCCACACACCTTCCTTCTTGTATCCTGGCAGTCGAACAAAAGCTCCATAGGCTTGCACAGAAACCACTTCTCCCTTGGCAATGCTGTACAGTGGTGGCAGACCTTCCAATCCAGCCGGCTCCTGTGGTGGACCATCACTGTCAGACATCGTCTCAGTGGAGGTAGACCACAGGTATCAATACGTAGATCTGGAAGACTGGAAATGACATTTAATTACTTTATAGGTCTTAAAATGGATGAAATTCCCTTTTTGAAACTAACACTTAAAGATTTATGGTTTTATTTACCACAAATCTCTCACATAAAGAACAAAAGATGGATCAAATCTTAAATTCAAATATCTACAGAATGCATGTATAAATGTATATCATAATGATATAAAGGAAAGTACAGTTCTCACTAAATAGTGGAACTTAAACAACCTGATGGTTAAAGTTAAAAGATATTCAATAAAGTAAATACCCTTGCATTTATAAATTAGAATAACTTTAACATTAACATGCTTTCATCAGAGTCCTCTCTCATGGGGATAAATAGCTGGTTGGTTTACTTCAGTTATGTATGAGCTTATTTAAAAAAGTTTTGCAGAAGATCTTAGACAGAATAAACAACTGCAGTAACTCTTTTTTTGAGACTCATTGTGAATAGTAGCAGCTAGGCTAACGTTAGCTACATTTCATTATTGCTCTCGACCAGGCAAACCATGTTCAAACTGACAAAAACACATTAACAGAATAACTGGTGCGTTGACTTATTGTAAATACCAACTAGTAAAAGAAGAGGATGAAACTCTAGATGAGGAGAAAATACTGAAATAAAACAGAACTACCGTTCGCGATAGCAGAGCTGGTTCAGTTTCACTTCCGGTGCAAGCCAGGACGACAACAAGCTAACCAACCAATCATAGCAGACTATACAAACTCAAACCAATCACACGCCTCATAGCCGGCGGAAGTAGATCCCCTCTTTTCTTCGTTGGTGTTACTCCGCTGGATTTCGCTGTGTGAAAGACGTCCGCTCATTTTAGTCAAACAAAGCGTTTAAATTGATATTTTTCGCCGCTTCGTGAACACGAACCAGGGATGATTGAGCCGAAGAAAAGAGTGGCGGACATGGCGGTGGTTCCTGCGGCGGCGAAGCGGCCCCGGACGGAGCTGGTGGCGGCGGCTCAGTCTCAGCAACTCGTGGCGATGGTGAGCAAAGAAGTAGTGCAGCCTGGTGCGGGTCAAAAATACTGGTAGAAACTTGTTCGAGAAAACTCAACGATTATTGTTGGTTGTTATTAACTACACAACCATCTATGACGTGAGATCACTGGACTGGAAAGATGCCTTCTACTCGTGGAACAAAGCTGTTTACTGAACAGAGAAGCAGGAAATCAACATAAACTCAAAAGCAGCAGATACAGTGATGATTCATTTTCTCATAATTGACCGATCACTCATTTGTCACGTTGTTGCAACTTCATGCAAAGTTCTACATCTGGTTCAGGAAGTTCTTCAGTATGTCGTCCTTATACACAATATGTACCCAGCTAATTGAATGGTAAATGATCTGTACTTATATAGCACTGTTATAGTCTTGATGACCACTCCAAACGCTTTACAGTACCATTCACAGATACATGTATACAGTTCAGCACGTTCTCTAATATACATCACTCTTACACTGAGAGCTCAACCTACTCCTCCTCCTGAGCCCCTTGTGACTATTTTATGGCCAATAACAATATTTGAGCGCTAAAACAACCCTGCAAGGAAATTTGATTCCTCTTAATTTAACTCATCAGTGCTCTCACCAGGACAAACTCTTTCGAAATTAGTATTATTTCCCTCAAACCTTAACCCCTGACGTCAGACTCACAGCTCAGCTCAAATCCTTGTCCATGTGTCTCCTGCAGGGGCCCCCACGGAGCTCCAGCCTGCAGGCTCCCATCATGCTGATGTCTGGCCACGAGGGTGAGGTGTACTGCTGCAAGTTTCATCCCAACGGAGCCACGCTGGCTTCCTCTGGATTTGACAGGCTCATATGTAAGTTAATAATAATATATAAACTTCTGCAAACAGTTATGCAAAAAAACGTATAGTTCACACATACGCAAAGTCAGTGTTACTGTGGATAAATAATCGTACATTGTGTTTCTTTGCTGCAGTGATGTGGAATGTGTACGGAGATTGTGAGAATTATGCCACTATGAAGGGCCACAGCGGAGCAGTGATGGAGCTGCACTACAACACAGACGGAAGGTAGGAACCATCATCGATGATGTAAAACCTGATAGGTACACTCTGGAATAAACCTCAGTCAAAATAATTAGCTAAATCAAACAAATGTTGTGTATTTCAGCGTGCTCTTTTCAGCGAGCACAGACAAGACTGTAGGTGTGTGGGACAGTGAGACAGGTGAGAGGATGAAGCGTCTGAAGGGCCACACCTCCTTCGTCAACACCTGCTACCCAGCTCGCAGAGGGCCCCAGCTTGTCTGCACCGGCAGCGATGACGGGACAGTCAAGGTAGGTTTTCCATTAAGTGACCTGTTTTGATCAGATAATTGGGTGTGTTAGTGTTTGGAAATTTAACCCAAACACTCTCAATGGTCACAGTCTTGGATCTGAACTCTAGTTTTGATCCTGTGTTTAGGAAATTATTATGTGCTCATGGTCCCTTCATGGTCTCTCCTTGTATGTGTTTGTCTCTGTGGTATAGCTGTGGGACATTCGTAAGAAGGGGGCGATCCACACTTTCCAGAACACCTATCAGGTGTTGGCTGTCACCTTCAATGACACCAGTGACCAGATCCTGTCAGGAGGCATCGACAACGACATCAAGGTACCAGGTTTTTAAACATATACAGAGATCCTGGAGACAATACAGATTGTGTCTATTAAATGTGCAAAACTGAGGACATGGTTAACCAGTTGTGGAATTTAATTACGTTGTATTTTCATTCGGTCTAGTGTCAGCTGATTTCAATGCATCACATCTTTGCTTCTCTTCTACTCCCTGTGCTTACAAATAGACTTTAACAGGTTTGACATTGACATTTCAATACAGTCAAATTCACAAGAAAGCGTTTCTTATTAACACTCTTCTGTTTCTGTTGTCACACATTAGAAAAGGTCAAGTAGCGACTGAAGCGATAATATTTTATACTTGTTGTGGAAACTACAATATCAACTGCAATAATTTTGCAAAAGCTTGTTATAGATGAGTATAAAGATAAAATATATGGTACAATAGTGAGAAGAAAGAGTTTTGGCATTTGGTATCAGTTTAGCTGATAATAACCTGTAACAGATTCATACCCATCATCTGGAACCAGTCGGTACACACACACACCACATAGAAATAACATGAAACACTGTGAAACCTATAAGTTAATAGAGATATGTATATAAAAACCTCATGATCACCTAAGGTTACTTAACATGATATAATAACATGCCTATATAATACTGCTATATCACATTCATATGATGATCAGTCTTTTTTTTCCTAGTGCAAAATACTTTTACTCTCTCAAAGAGCAAATGTTCAGTGGAAGTGAAGAGCAGTAACAGATATAGCTGGTTTAAGGTGCATGTATTGTAAATATTTGGCTTCGGGATGTCGTAGCTGACTGAGGAATCAAATTAGATTTTCTTATCCAAAGAGAACATCGATTTGAACAGAGGTACAGAAAGTATACTTTAGAAATATATGTTCTAAAATACAGCAAAACAACAGAGACAATCCATAACAGAATGATTTTTGGAAGAAGCATTACATGGTTGCTGCTGCTGTGCTCTGTATGTTTTCCCAGCATATCAACCACAAAATATCAGTTACCACCACAAAATTTTTTTTATTTCAAATGTTACTGTCGTACTTTTCCATAAAGTTAGTGATGGTAGATTTTGTTGCAGATTGCGAGGATGACCTCTGATATCTAACTCTGAAGGCGAGAGAAACAAAGGATCTTTTAAATCTTTCTGTTTTGATCTTCAGCCCCTGTGGCTCAGCTCGAATATCTACTGAAGAGGATGAGTGGGGTCATTCAGTACGCTGTGTATCTTATTGAAAATAAATAATGAAAAACCTGCGTACTTATATCTGTAGTCTATGAAACACACTGCATTTTTTAATTCTTTTCAAATTAGGTGGTTAAATACTAAATTTATGTTATTGTCAGTGTGCTGTGTAACTGTCTCCTTCAGGTGCTGCTCAGCCCATAAAACAGTCACTGCCTCTGTTGTTTCACTCTTGCATCTTTTATAATGACGTTCAAGCATCACATTGGGGTTTTTGTGCCTCGTCATGTTAAGTACTTCTGGTTACTAACGCTGCTGCAGGGTATTTAGTGTTGTAAAAAACCTCAGTGTCTATTTCTTTTCTCTCCCCGACTCCAACAACAGTTTTTTGTTTACTGAATTTTTTTTATCAGTGACATCTCAGCTCAAATCAACTCTTTGACACTATTATATATTCGCTTCAGTAAAAACGCTGACAGTAGCTGTGGTTTGTGTCGAGCAGGTGTGGGACCTGAGGCAGAACAAGCTGATCTACAACATGCACGGTCATGGTGACTCGGTAACTGGACTCGCTCTGAGCTCCGAGGGATCGTACCTTCTCTCTAACTCCATGGACAACACAGGTGGGACATTAGAAACAGCTTTTTCCTTTTTCTCAGGCGCCTTCATTTTGATTTTCCTTTGCTGGATGTTCATTGTGACTCTTTTCTGTTTCTCCGTGTAGTCCGGATTTGGGATGTCCGACCGTTTGCGCCCAAGGAGAGATGTGTGAAGATTTTCCAGGGCAATGTTCACAACTTTGAGAAGGTAACACATAGCTAGTGTTTCCTCACGTTACTACTTGAAATTAAATTGAATTGAAATTAACTTTGTTACAAACAGCTGCCGTCCTGCTTTACATCTGCTTGCAACCACAGTTTGCTGACATTGCCTTTCTCCTTCTCCTGCCTCTCCCATCTCTCTCTGCTGACCTTTCTAATAAAGAAAACCTCCCTATTGTCTCATTACGGTAATAGTAGCTTGCGTCTCAGATGGTTGTCACGTCGCTAATGAAATTTCAAACATCTGTTCCTGTCGTACAGAATTTGCTGAGGTGCTCCTGGTCTAATGATGGCAGTAAGATCGCTGCAGGTTCAGCTGACAGGTGAGAAGAACCCCCTCAACACACACACACACACTAGCTAGAGGCCATGTTATAATTAATTATCGGTTACAGTGAAATTCTTGTCACAGTGAAGGCAGAGAGCCAAAGTCCTGACATCACCTCCATGTTTGCCCTCAGTTTCCACTGGCTTCTCGTCTGTCACTCATCTTTCATCAGTTCTTTTGAGAAAGTGAAACCAGTTCCAGGGCTTTAGGAAATAAATGGCGGTCTACTGCAGGAGTTACATTATCATTGTACTAACATTATAAACCACAACTATAATGTCCACCAAGGGTTTCTTCTAATGTCCTTTTATAATCTCTACCATCTCAAATGTCTACATTCTCTGTCTGGCTTTAATTTCAGCCACATCTTTTGTGTTTGTGGCCCGTGGACTTTAAACCCTCAGTGGTCTTTGGCCAGTTCAGTTAGTTTTCTGCAAAAATAGAAATAAGAGTGATCTCCTGTCATCACTCAGCACTTCAATTTGTAAATAAGTTTCCTTTCCTATCACTCAACTCACTCAGTTTGGGGCACCCAATAACTCACCTGGTTGAGTGTACGCCACCGAGTCTACCAAGTGCTCCTGTCATGTCAGAAGATTCAGAAAGATAAAATAAACTCAATAATCATGGTTTTTCATGTGTTTCAGTTATTAACAAAGTTACTGACTTTGTGTCTGTTTATAGATTTGTGTATATTTGGGACACCACATCACGCAGAATCCTGTACAAGCTGCCAGGCCACGCTGGCTCCGTCAATGAAGTGGCCTTCCACCCGGAGGAGTCTATAGGTGAGTGGAGAACCTGCGTCAGTCTCAGATGACGCACTGTAATACATGTTAGAAGAATGGAACAGAGATATCTTGAGGAACAGGTTCATGAAGAGAAGATCATTTTCATGGTCGCGTGCTTTTGTTTTTTTTTGCCAGAATGTGTTCATCAGCAGAGTCTGAAAATCTGTTGGATATAATTTCATGTTGGTTTGTAACTCACCTCAGGCTCATCTCTTTCTCTCTCTCTCTCTCTCTCCACACAGTGCTGTCTGGCTCCAGTGATAAACGGCTCTACATGGGTGAAATCCAGTAGCATGTTTGTGATCTGGATGAGTATGTGTGACAGTGTGTGTGTGTGACTATGTGTGTGTGCTTGCGTCCTCAGCGAGAGTCCAGCTGTGGAAGTACATGGGTGGTGATCGACAGTGGAGCCACTGTGATTTCATGTGCTTCAGTGTTCAGACAACCTCAGGATGTTTGTTCAAAGTTTATTATTCTCAGTCACAACAACCTTGACATTGAAAAGTTTTTTTTAATCCTGATATGTTTCTTTTTAATAAACTTTCAATATTCTGTAAAAAGTTTGTCAGATTCTTTCATCGTTGTGATGCTTTTGTCGGCTCACAGTTGTTACTTCGGCAATGGTGCTTTTTGTTTTCGCTTGTGTGTGTGTTTGTTTGTGAGCAGGACTACGCAAAAACTACCAACTGGATTTTCATGAAACTTGGTGGCAAGATGAGACGTGGGCCACATTTAACATTGTAAGATTGTTTGTCTTCTTGACTAATTTCCCAGGGATAAATTAAATGTTCTTGATAGAGAAAATCAGGCAGATTTTGGAGACTGATATCTATGAGTGTGTGCACTTGGGTGCAGCTTGATTGAATTTAAGGGCCGGGATTGGCCACTGAGTTATGGATTCTACTGAATGCCATTCTGGTTTTAAGTAAAAATTGGCAAATGGGGGAATGCTGTGATCTCGTCAAGCAAAGATAAAAGTTATTTTATAGCATTCATCCACTGCTATTGTCACATCTATTGGTACATTCGGCTCTAACTCCCTGTTATATGTTCATGTGGGAATTTAAAGGTTCAGTGTGTAAGATTTAGGTGAAAGTGATCTAGTGGCAGAAATTGAATATAAAATAATCCTAGTGACATTTTCACTAGTGTCCATCCTCTTTCTGGTCACATATATGAGCATCTGAAAGAAAACTAGGTGAAGAATTTTGGCATATTGTTTGTGTTTTATGGTTTTCTATCTGCCTTGCTCTACAAAGCACTCTTGTCGGACAGTAAACTAATGAACGTAACTAGTAATGAAACACTTGAAACGACGAGGCCTTTGTTAACAATGACTTCTATCATTTCCTAGTGTGTCTACTGGCAAAACCTGGATCTCTTTGAAAAGCACCAAACTTCATTGCTTTATGTGCAGGAAGAGTTGAGCTTCTCACCTCCTTTTACCTATACATAGTGTAAAATGAATGAAAGCACTATATGGAGTTATTGGCATGTGACTATGCACAGTGAACGAGCATGAAGCGCAAAAATTGGGCGACTAAACCTTTAGCAAGATTCCTCTGAGATGTGCATGGTAGCAGGTCAAATAAATTCTACAACGTATTTGAAACAGGAGGCTAACATGTGTTTTGCAGATCTCCTCCAGAACAATGAGACAAATCAGAATAGATACTTATAGGCAGAGTGCACAAATGAAAGGGGAGTGTAATCACTTTACTGTATTTGAGAGACATGTATGGTGAAGATACGTTTGTTGCATTAACACTGAATTGTTTTTTTCCATTGGTTGTCATATGGCCTCAGGATCACTGGCTCTGCAGTCATCATCAGGCCTGTGGCCAGTGGTATTACTGTATCATAATGTACCACAAAGTACCACACTCTATCATACTGTATTACAATGTATCAACTTGTACTACACTGTATGATACTGTATCACAATGTACTTCACAGTATCACATGTACTACACTGTATAACACTGTACCACATGTACCACAAGGTATCACACATAGACTGTAAGTATCACACTCTACCACATGTACCACAGTACCACATGTACCACATGTACCACAGTGGTGGAGGTGAGTAGCAGAGGTTGATTAAACATGGTTGTTAATATTGTGTGTTCCTCTGGATGTAACCGCGGGCTGTGGAGACGAGCAGCCCCGCGGGGCAGCGCAGCCTCCTCGGTCTGTGTCTCCGGAGGTGATGGTGTAAGGAGGCGGTAACAGACTTTATTATTTTCGGCTGAACCTCCTCCTCCTCCTCCTCCTCCTCGACTCATCCGTTTCTTTTGTGCTCCTTTCTGAGATTCTCCTCGAGGGGGTCGCGGTGACTGAGAGCCCCCACCCCCTGTCTCTCTCTCTCTCTCCCCCTCTCCCTCTGCCTCTCTCCCCCCGGCTCCTCCTGCTCCCGCCCCGGCACCGATTGTTGACAAAAGACGCTGCTAGACGGAGAGAAGGAGCCCAGCGCCCCGGTACCGGTGAGCACATCCATCCGTTAACTTCACTTCTTTCCCCCGAACAGCTCCAGGGGGAGAGGATCCGGCGGTGGCGGCCGGGGGGAGACTCCTCATGCTCCCAGAAAACCGTGAGCCACAACGGGCTGCTTTGTGTCGGCGGTAGATCGCATGTAGCCGGAGCGTTAGCGAGTAGCACTGCGGGGTCGCTCCCCTCCTCCCCACCGCCAGCCCCCTGTGATCCGGTATCATATGATATTCATTTCTGTCTGTGGCCCGGGGCCCGTTGTGACAGCTTTCCGTCTCTTTGTGCCTTTGTGTGTGTCCCCTCTCCGGAAGGTGTGGCCGAGGTGATTCGGTTGTCGGTGGTGGTCGGACCGCAGCGGGCCGGCGTGAAGTCCCCCCCCCCCAAGACACATTCATCACCCCTCCTCCCCGGTCCTCCTGAAAAACACCAACGACTGGTATTTACCGACAAAACCAGCGGCCAGCATGGGTCACTCACTGTGAGGGAGGAGGAGGAGGAGCAGGAGGCAGCGGCCTTGGGCAGGTCTATCCAGCCGGGAATGGTGTGAGCTGAGACGGCCAGGCAGTCTGGATCTGACCGGGGACCCGTCATTCCCCCGGAGCCTCCGCGGCTCCAAGCCGCGTCCTGAGCCCTCCAAGATGGGGAAGTGCGACGGCAGATGCACGCTGCTGGTGATATGTTCACTACAACTGGTGAGTGTGTGTATGTGTGTGTGTGTGTGTGTGTGTGTGTGTGTGTGTGTGTGTGTGTGTGTTTATCAGTGTGTATATATGTGTTCATATGTATCTGTGTGTGTGTGTGTGTTCATGTTTGTGTGTGTTCATATGTATCTGTGTGTGTGTGTGTGTTTGTGTGTTCATGTTTGTGTGTGTGTGTGTCTCAGCAGCCTCCTCTCACTCAACAAGAAGATATAATTAGAGCATCGTGCTCCACAGCTGCACATTGTAATCACACATTTTTGTAGTGTCACAGTGAAAAAGCTTTGAGCTGCAGCTGCTGGGGGCCATGCCACATTACCTATGAGTGTGTGTGTGATTGAAACTGAGGGAGCAGGGCAGGGGGCGCTTTAGTGACGGGGTGGTCCTCATGTCTGTGGAGAGAGAGAGAGAGAGAGAGAGAGGGGTGATAGCCTCATTCTGGCAAAACCCCTGTGAGTGTTGTGGACAGGAGGGACAGGGAGGCCCTGCTCCCCATCTGGTCTCCATTCTGGAGTTAAACTTAGCCGCTCCTTGTGTCCACAAATAGCTTGAGACTATTCCTCTAAAATGTAATAAGTGTGTAACATGAGACAGTACCATCTATTCGTGTAATGAGGCTGATGCAGGCCCTGGCAGCAGCAGCAGCAGTGTGAGCAGTGGCTGTGCTTGTCCAGGCTATTGTTTGTCGGGCCTGATGGGTTGTGTGTGTGCAGCAGGGGGATTCGGCCCTGAGATCCTCATTAGTTTGGGGGAGCTTTTAGGGGTTGCTCCTCTTTTACAGTCACTGGACTGGCTGGTGCTCCAGGCAGTTACCATGGAAACAACTGCGGCAGACCTGTGTATGTGTCCCTGTCACTGTGTGTGTGTGTGTGTGTGTGTGTGTGTGTTGTGTTCGTATGTGTGTTGTATTTGCATATATCCTCATTTGTGGGTGTTTGTGAATGTTCCTCTAACATGAGTGTGTGTTTATGCGACACCCCCCTCCTCCCTTCTCTCCCCCTGACCCCCAGGTGGCTGCCCTTCAGAGGCAGGTGTTTGATTTTCTGGGTTACCAGTGGGCTCCCATCCTGGCCAACTTCCTACACATAATGGCCATCATCCTGGGCATGTTCGGCACCGTGCAGTTTCGCTTCAGATACCTCATCTTTGTGAGTTTACCTGTCACCTTCTGATGAGGTCACAGCGCCTGTTTACTTGCCTGTGTGTGTGTAGCTGCTGTCAAACAGAAACTAACCTCAGCGTCTGCTTGGCAGTATGCAGTATGGCTGGTCCTCTGGGTGGGCTGGAACTCCTTCATCATCTGTTTCTACCTGGAGGTCGGAAATCTGTCTCAGGTGAGTCATGTGTGTGTGCTTGGACATTTGTGATAGACATTAGAGATTAATTGCTTGATTAACAGAAAATGGATTGCCAATTATTTTGATAATTACTGTATTAAGCATGCTGGTTTGGCTGGTCACCTCTTACTGATATGCTATATCTATTTAGTAGTCACTAAACCAATTAGCAAAGCGTTTGGACATGAACTTCTTAATTATCAGTTTATTTAAAAAATGCCATAAATTCACTTTTCTTTTCTGTATGTGTGCTAAGCTTTACTTTTCCTTTTGCAAGTACTTTCTGATGCAGAAATATGTAAAATTATTAAGTCATTTATATGAAAAAAAAGGAAAATAAAAAAAGTCTTATTAGCCCAGTAAAGCTGCTGTTTTGAGGTGACCCCCAACCCCTTGGCTGGGATCATCTGGAAGTCATGTATCATGCAACATTCTGTGTTTCCAACTTCCCAGATGTTATAATTTGATATTTTCTCTGTTTATATGTTTGTAAATTCACATCACCTTTGGCTCACAAGTATTGCAATGAGTATTTTTCGATAGTTCCTGACACTGTCCTCTTCTTTTATGAACATGTGTACCTATGTATGTGTGTTCAGGACAGGGACTTTCTCATGACGTTCAACACGTCTCTCCATCGTTCGTGGTGGATGGAGCATGGTCCCGGTTGCCTGGTAACGCCAGTGCTGGACTCTCGCATGGCCCCAGATGACCACCATGTCATCACCGTTTCCGGGTGTCTCCTTGACTACCAGTACATCGAGGTGTTGAGTTCTGCCATCCAGATCTTGTTGGCTGTACGTATCTGACAATCACACACTCCTCCAAATAATCACAGTGACACAGTGATAAAATACAGTGTTTTTCTTTCATTTAGCATCACACAGATAAACACAAAAAGAAAATTTTTGTTTTATTTTGCTGACCCCTTAACTGTCTGCTTACACATTCTATATGAAATGCTTAGGAGACACCGTTAAATCAGCAGTGACTCAGCCGATACAACAACACTCATCTTGTTTCTGGCATCTCTCTCTCAGCTCTTTGGCTTCGTGTACGCCTGCTACGTGAGCAAAGTCTTCCAGGATGACGAGGACAGCTGTGAGTGCTTTTGTCTTCTCCCCTAAAAGCTTGTTGACCCTCCTCCAGTGTCTTGTTCAGCCAATTTGATTTTACTTTTTGTCACACTGCGGAAAGGCCTTTTAGTGTTAGCGATGACTGTCGATGTGAGTGCTGTTAGCTCGTTGTTTTCTCCTGCCTGACTCACGCTGAGTGATATCACAGCAGAGGATTCCCTGTGGGTGATCTCAGCGCTCCATCTGCGGAGAGTATTAGAGTGTGTCTGCCGGAATATTCCCACCATCAGAGTGTCCGTCTGTCTGCTGGTCCGGGGCTCGTCTATTTGCATGGGTGTGCCATCTGTGGGTCTGAATGGTGAATTCTTGTGCGTCTCTTGTGAGTAGTTTAGTTTCACAGAGTAAATTGAAATGACGTCCTGCAGTTACAATATGACACCATATGTTGGATTTTCTGTAAAAGCAAAGGACATGCTGTGTCAGTGATGTTTTAAAATCACGCTGTGTCAGTGAATATGTGCACCTCATAACAAAGTGATGATAATGAAATAACAGAGTCATGCAATATCATTACATTTTATTGATTCCGTTCTAATATATCCTGACTGACGCTGGAATTTTCTTGCTACTTATGAGTCGATATATATACAAACACCAGATACTAGTATATCTGCAATTAGCTTATAATGAACAATTATCCAGCCTGGGTGATTTATTTGTCTAACTAATCATTACTGGCACTATATTCACTGCAGTACATCTCTTAATTTCAAAAGACTTGCCATAATACAAATTGCAGGTAAAAATAAAGATGTTTTCTTTTTCCATCCATCCCAAAGTTATTGTCTAAATCTCTGCTGACTTCGAACATCGAGGACTGTTTTCATTTTCAGATGGCACCTCTTGAGTTTGTTCCTCTGAATCAATTGAGAAAGATTAGACCATTGTATCCGTGACACAGAGGCGGCGAGAATGATGATGTATCTGTGCGTCTCTGCAGGTTCTGGTGTCACAGTGGGTTTACAGTGTTATAACAGTGTACTGAAAGCATTGTTATACAATCCGAGGCCGTGATAGATTTTCATGTCAAAATAAAAGCTGATCTTGAAATGCAACACTTTATAAAAAAAAGAATTTAAGGGAAAGTTGAATGATCTCATCTCTTTCTCTCTCCTTTTAAAGTTGATTTCATTGGTGGCTTTGACTCTTACGGATACCAGCCTCCTCAGAAGTCCTCTCATCTGCAACTGCAGCCTCTGTACACGTGAGTTATTAATACAGAGATCTAGAGAATTCTTCTCCTTCTTTTTGAGCTTATTGTGTAACATTTCTCTTTCAAGGGACACTCCAGTAAATACGTACCACACCTCCATAAAGTCGGGGGACTCACGAGAGAAAGAAAAATTCTGACCTTTTATCTCTAGTTTGATTGAAGCTCCAAAACGCTGGAGATTTACTTAAATCTTCACTTCATTTGAATCTCACACCCTCACTTTTTAGCACAGCCTTTTGTTAAACCTTTTTAAACTCCCTCCAGAGGTGTCTCCACTTCTTCCAATTATGCAGAAATCAAGCTAAAACATCCCAGATCCTATTGCTGCCATCTTGTGCAATCATGCATTTCAACTTATTTTTATGGAAAGTAACAACAACACTTCAACAAACATTGGTGTGATAAGATCCTTAAAATAACAAAACCAATTCATGACAATAATTTATTCAACACACATTAAAGTGTAGACTTTTTAGTTTGGTCCATGTTCCATACATTAACATGGAGAAGGCAGGATTTATGACCTATACTGCAGCTAGCCACCAGGTGGGGATTGAGACGCTTTGGCTTCACTCATCAGGAGCCGTCATGTTGTCCATCTTTATATATTTGTATTCAAATTGTTTCCATAAGATGAGTAGTACAATAGTGGGTAAACAGAAAAATTGGTGGAGTGCCCTTTTGTACAGTTACATCAAAGTGTAACCCCCAATCTCTTCCCCTTCTGTATCACAGGGCTGGTTAATCATCGGTAGCGCCCCCCTCAGGCCAAAACCCTGACGGCGTCACTGTGGATGGGAAGTGGCAGTGGCCCTGATTACACTCACTCTGTGTGTCACAGTTAACCTGAGCAATGGACTTAACCCCACCCAGAGGGAGAGACGTCGTATGCATGTGTGCGTGTGTGCTTGTGTCTGAAATGGAGAACTACAGCCCTGATTAGAATGTACAGAGCTCAGGGAAGAACCAGCACGCCAGGTGGTCTGATAAGATGAATGGAAAGCAGGAGGCGGAGGAGGGGGGGTACAGAAAACAAGAGCTGGGGACACCTCTGTCAAATCACCGAGGACACGCATCACTAAACTGCCAGCTCTCAACACTCCCACAAGTGTGTGCGTGTGTGTGCGCGTGTGTGCGCGTTTGTGTGTGTATGTGTCTGTGTGTGTGTGTGTGTGTCTGTGTAACTCCACAGGACTAGCAGATGCTTTGTGGTTGCACCCTGGACTCTTACCACTCAGTGCCGTTGTGAATTTTTTTGGGGGGAGTTTTTGTGTGGGACTGTGTGTGTGACTGTGTGTGTGACTGTGTGTGTGGGTGGGGACGTAGGTGGGGTCACATAATAAAAAGAGGCACAGCTTGTACCTGTTGTCGTTTTAGAATGTGGTGATGTCAAATTAGAGCAGTCTTTATGAGTCCCGCTCCCAAAGCCATCTTCCCTCACTCACCTGCCGTTAAAAACCCCTGGTTGACATTTTAGACTTTTACGTTACAGGTCAGGGCCGTAGTGGTCATAAAGCAGAGCTGCTGGAGTGGAGGAGGTGAACTGCCTGAAGGATCATGCTGTTGTCACTTAAGGAATTTTATTATTGTGAAAAAACAACCAGTGAAAAGAACAAATTCAACAGCTTGTTATGTGTCTCTTCCACTAAACCCATTTTCTCCTGAGGGTCTTAAACTCTAAAAATAGTCATGGAATATAATTTTCAAAAACAACCTAAATCATTTAGACTCTAGTTTTAAGCAAAGCCCTGTTTGAAGGATTCATTCACTGCTGGTTTTGGTATTTTTACTGGATTTGTTGCGTTTCGCGTTCCGTTTCATCTCTGGCGAAAGTACAGATATAAAGTCAAATGTCCAGTTCATGGAAATTTAGTTTTCAGGAGATTAAATTCAGCCCGCTGCACCTGTGAGGCTTTCGACCTAAAGCGTTGCAGATGGCTTTGGGATCAGGCATTAGTGTGTCTATGGGGGGAGGGGGATACTGTGCATGTAAATAACCAGCCAATGATTGTTTTGTTGGTTTAATTTAGAAAAAAGGGGGGGTGGATGGGGGGGGGGGTACATTAGCAAGGGGTTGGGACTGGGGGAGAGGGGTGCACATCTCAAAGTTTTCCTTCATACCTGCTTCTCTCGTCCTCTCACTGCCCATCTGCAGCTTAGCCCTCCATCGTCTTATACACATACCACACACTATACGTTCTACCCCTGCAGCTCAGTCACTGGAGCAATAATGGCGACAAATAGTCAAGGAAAATATGTCACGATGACGCACGTCCACCTGCTTCCCCCGAGTAGTTTTTGTACCTGGGATGGGAGAGAGGACGGGGGGAGGAGAAGCAGGTATGAGGTGAAGACCTTATTGGGTGTAAGGTGAAGTTTGAAATAATAAAAAATACACTTTCTACATTAAAGCTGACTCCTGTTGTTATCTGTAGACACACATTTGTCTCCCTTACAGGGACTTTGTGTTTAATAAATTGAGTGCTTTCATTCCTTGTTTTGATCACATTAATATCCGGATTATGAGGAACTGATTTTTTTCCCCCCCCAGAGTAAGTAAGTAGATTATAGAAATGATGCAGTGTGGTGATATTGTATAATGAGGATTTGATTCGTCAGCACTTAACATAAAACTAATGTATGAGCTTATAAACATAATATACACACTCCAGGGTATCTACTGGATCATACAAGTATGATAAGTAGCCTGAGATGTGTCATGCTCATTATTTCCATATATATTATCACTATAACCATAATCTACTGTATCCACATTGCGTCATCCACACCGCGGCTCAGGACGTCTCTCTATCGGTCTGCAGCTGCTGGGGTCCTCGCTGACACGTCTCCAACGAGCCGCTGAAGGTGTCTCTGTTGTCCGGGGCCCTTGTCTGTTCACACCGTGCACTCGCATCCCGGAGGAGAGGGACCAGCAGCGTCACACCCGCTGATCCTGTGGTGCAGCACGTTGCCATGGCTGCCAAGCACCACGTTACCGTAGAGACCCCGGTACATTGTGTTCAGTCCACACCGGGGGAAAAAAGTCCTCCACTCTCCCCGTGTAATCAAAGAAAATGATCATATCTGACTGATTTCATATATGCTGACATTTTTATTTATATGGTGACTGTTTGTTTATGATTATTGTTTTTGCAGATCTGTTGAAAAAGAAATGGAAGATTTTTCCTCCATTGACAAATAAGTGATCGGGAAGTAAATAAAAGTGAATAAATAAATACAAACAGACCGACACATAACAAAGGCTCTCGCCGACCCTCCCCTCCCTCCCTCCCTCCCCTCCCGGTTGGCGCAATGAACCGCACGCTCTCTCTCATCTCTTCCCGTCATGCAGCGCTCTCGCCTGCTCCTCCGTCGAGCCGCCATGTTGTCGGAGTGAAAGCCTGGGGTGTCAGAGAGAAACTGGGGCCGAAATCCGCTACCATCCACCCTCTCCGCCGGTGAGTACCGTCCGCTCAGCGGTCGCGGTGTCACGGGGCACTGTTTATCCGAATGTCAGTGTCGGTATTGCCGCTTTCGGGGCTCGGGAGAGGGGTTGAACGGGGGGATTCTATTGTGAGGCTGAAGCGGCTGCCTCCCTTTCTGCTGCCTGCCTCCTTCCTCCCGTTGTGTCGGTTCTTCCGCTCCAGACAGCTCTCGGGCCTTTGTTAGCCTCCGCGTCACGGGGACCTGTGGGGCCACAGAGTCTGCAGACACTCAGAGGCCCCACCGGGTGTATGTTAGCAATAACAGGGTGATATTACCGGGAGAGCACCGCCGTTAAATACACTGTGTGTTAGCCCGTGTTTGGCCACTTGTCCTCCCGGGCTGAGCTTGTGTCGGGAGGCCGTGTTATTGTTGGTAGACACGGGCAGTGAACCTCCATAACACACCCGAGACTCGGCGTGAGTGGACGCGGATGCATGAAAACGAACCCCCGGTAATTGTCACGAGTCTTTCCACGAAGCATCCACATTTTGCCGTTTCGTGTTTGATGTGTCATGTCTGCCAGGGGGAGAAATCTGTGCTCTGTGCCGAGACCCCTCACGCTATCTGCCGCTATCTGCAGGCTGCCTGCTCGTCACACCCCTGTCTGTGCCCGGTATGCGGTGGATTGATCACCGGCATCGAACAATGATTAACCCGGTTAGTTTTTGGAGCACAGCGCCCGTTTCCGGGTGCCGGAGTTAAGCTGGTAGCATAACAAGCCGTGTGCGCTCCTGCGTTGGGGGGTAATGGCCACACGGTTGTGGATTTCCGGGTGTTTCTCGACCTAACGTGGAACGTGGGTACATGAATAAAGAGCGATCGTGTCCATGCTGCTGAATGAAGAGCGGCAGAGGACATCAACCCTGAGAACACGCATGTGAACGATGGTCGGCAGACTGCTTTGTGTTTATCTGCTGGGACTGTTGAGCCGGTCATGGAGGGGGTGTGTTGCACGGTGCGTTCAGCAGACATGATGATGATGATGATGAGCTAAAGCTGCATGGGTCAGACACTCTTTCGCTGAATGGCTCGGGTGAAGTGCCTGTAATTTCCTCATGGCATGTAGGGACACCAATGTGAACTCATTTTAACACAGATTAGAGCTGGCTGGATAAGACAAGGCTGTAAAATACAAATTATAACCCCAGACTGCTGAAAACCACAGGGCTTATCGTGCCACTGTTGACCACTGCAACCAGACAGATTGGGCCTTAGCCTCTATCTTGGGGTTATCACTACACACTTGCATGACAGGGCCACTTTGACCTTTTCAAAATATGAACCTGCAGCTAGTCTCCCTTTCCTGGCATGTATAGTCAGTAGCCTCCTCTGTATGAAAACCTACAGAGAAAAGACTAACTTCAATTGTTATATTCACACAAATCATTAATTTTTTTGAGTGTGCCTGTAACAGTTATTTACAACTTAGGTTGCAACACATGCCAACAGCATCAACAACTGCAGGAACCATTATGTTGAATTCACACCTTTCTTTAACAGATGCACCTTCACATAGCTGAGATTAATGACAGTATTGTTACATCTACAGTAGTTTTAGTTAAGTGAACAATATAAACAGAAAAATGTGTTGACCAGCTTTAATGGTGCGGACTTGAAGCGGTGGTCTGCATGTCTGCACAGTGTTTCATACCAACCACATTTGTGGGGGCAGATCATCTTGAACCAGATGGGGCTGCCTAATCAGAGACCCACGCCAAAAGTATTTTGGGATGCCTAACAGGAAGATATGTTAGTGTCTGTGTGGTCAACATTTATCTTCATGGTCCATTTAATGTTTGGTTCCAAATAAATTCAAAGGTAGAGTTTACAGTTGGTCATGCAGTTAAATTCACTTGTCTCCTGGGTCTTGTGATTCTCTGGTTTATATCTATAACTGTTGATCACCGTTCTCCTGTTCTGATGATCAACATTTAATTATGTTTAATGGTGGGTTGTCCCTCAAATGTTAGACCTACAGTGTGATTCATATTACTGCTCTTCTTTGTGTGGCTGCAGCCTACAAACTTCATCATGTGCTCTGGATTTTTAGAGCGATTAATCAGGTTAGTGTCATATTTACATACAATTCTATTAAATTAGTGCCCTGCTGCAGATCTGCAGTCAAACTAGACATGAAGCCAGCTAACCTAACCAATCAGGCCATAGTGAATCAATGAGAGCTGTGCGTATAGTGATGTTTGGTTGGAAGCCTCTGCACTGTGCTATGACTACAGCCGGCTCAGTGGGAACATTGTTCACCAAACTGCACTGTGCAAAAAAAACACTACACCAGCCCTGTAAGAAATCTGATTTAAAAAATGTGTTTATGAGGATTATTTTTGAGGCTGGTGTTCTGTTGAAGTATATTCTGTTGTACTCACACTGATATAAATCAAGAGGAAACAGTGTTCAACAGTTTTAACCACCACGAGGGGAAGATTTATTGCAGTGCATTTATGTTAAACTGCAATTAAGCTTGTTATTTCAAATAAACTGGCAGCCAAGTGTAGTTTGACTTTTAAAGCAGTTCAAGCTACAATGTGTGTCGATATATTTTAGTCTCCTGGTTTGGCTTATGTCAGTCTCTGCCCTATTCAAAATTGGTGATGAGACACTCGCTCCATTTGCATGAGATTACATTTCTGTTGGACACATGACCAAAGTATGTGTTGACTTATAGAAGAGGGACACAGACTCTGAACTTTGAACATGAACCATGTGAAATAGTAAAATGACAGGCAAATGATTAGATCAGTGATTTGTTTCACTCCGTATTTGTCTCTTCTGTCACCACAGGTTTTTTTTGTTAAGTTGCAGAACATGGACCACATTATTTTCTTTTGTCATTTAATTACTAGGTGGGGACAATAACTTTTGTCATGATTTAATTGCTGGAAACTCAAGCTAGTGCAACACTAGCACAAGGTAGAACTTAAGTCCTCTGTTATTGTGGGATTTGGCACAAGGGATTTATTAGACTTGTTTCATCACTCTGTCTGAATTTGTCTACATTCTAGGTGAATGCACATAATAAACTAGCAGCTTGAGCATTAGGGTCTTTATTCTGAGAGAGTGTTTTATTTGTTCAACGTGTTGGTCCAGTTTTGATCCAGTTTGCCTTTGTTTGAATGTAACGATTATATTTCTCTCTCTCCGGACAGGCTGTGGTGGAATGAGCAGTGTGTGTGTGTTGAAGAGGAAAGCAGTGCTCTGGCAGGATTCATTCAGCCCCCACCATAGAACTACATCTCCCAGCATGCCCGTGGTGCTGAGCAGCGGAGGACATGCCCCTCCAACTGGGCAGACCCCTCAAGCCACACCCCCCAGCCAACAGGTAATACCCTCCACGTTTACACCTTTAAATATTTCATTCATTCATTGACATGTTTGTCTTAAAGAAACGTGTCTCTGTTAACTATGGGGTCTTCTAGTCTGTCATTAGTCCTCTAGCACCATATTAGCTATTTTATTGTGTTCACATTGAAAGAGCCAACTGTGTTGTCACTGTTGAATAAAGTTGGTTGAAATCAAGATTTTTTGAAAAATAACCAACATACTCAGCTATCTGTACTTTAAGTGGAAATGATGCAAAAACAGCTTTAACTGCTGACTCTGGTTGGAACAAAGCAACGTCGATGCCGATGTGAAACCTCGCTTGGTCTCATAGTGAGTTTTGACTTACTAAAGTCGTGCAGTTGTGACTGCTGCCTTAACTGTCTATTTCATTTATTATGTACTACATGTCTGATATTGTTAGACGATCATGTCATGTTATATTTGAGAAATTCACATTTGCTTTATTGAGTTTTGTGATTATGAGTAAAATATCTGCAGAGGCTTCGAGAATTTATTTTTAAGTTAATTGATAAATCACTCAACTGACAAAAACAACCGGCAAATTTTAAATTCATTGTCGTCATTGGTCTTGTGAAAGTACAAAACATTTATACTGGGTAACTCTGTTAATGCTGGACCAGTGCATTGGTCTCGTGAAAGTACAAAACATTTTGTGGTCACAGCCTCACAGAAGTGAGGAATTGCTTCAGCTTATCCTGCTTCGTGTATTTGTAAATTGATTTTTTTTAACTTTTCTAAATTGTTAAATTAGCTGTTTGAAGTCGGGTTCTGATCCAATGGGCTGGGTCACTGTCAATTTAGTTATTTGTCTTTTTATAAAGGTAATTCGAATTTATTGACTGAAAAATAACAGATTTTAGTGAAATGTTTTGGTGCAGCTACAAGGAGGTTAAAGAAATACCTTTTATAATCAGCTCCTGATCTCTGTTCTTTTCTCTTGGCCAATAGAGCTGCTGCTGGTACATACAAGAGCTGTTAGCCTATAATTAGCTGTGGCTGTTAGTTAGGCAGACTGGCCATGCTGCTATAAGATATGTCATAAAACTAATTGTAGCTGTCTTTAAAGTCCCACAATAACCTCATCAGTGAAGTGTTACTGCTTGATAACAAGTCATCTTCATAACTAATTCTGGAAATAAAAGTCAAGTCCATCTGATAAGTAATAATTTAGCCTGATTAAATTATGTCTTGCTCAGTCACTCTGTTGCGCTCTTTGCGTGTGTAGTAAATGACTGAGGCCACTTGTTTTTCACTACATGTTGACTATTCTTTGATGACACCGTCTTGTGGGGAATTTCGGGTTCGCCCTCAAAATGGGTGAAAGGAAGTCGTCACAAGCTTTGGCAGTGAAGAGAAATGCTGCTTCCTAGGAAGATGTGGCTCTGAATACCTCAACCCAGGGTGCTGTTGTGATCACGATGATGAGTTAAATAAAGCGTATGGTGGATTTGGAATCTGTTTTTTAACATGTGGTCATAAGCTTTAAAAAGGTTTTCAGATACATTTTTTTCAGTCGACAGAACCTATGAGGATGTATTTGTGAGCATCTGTACCCTCTGATATTTTTGATTCACGTGTTTAGTGGTGGTTTAGTTCCAGTACATTGATGTTATCTGTATGTTTGACTTTTGACTCATGCTCAACTCTTTGTGTATATGTTTGTTCTTCTCTTGCATTTTTGTTTTGTGAATATTCTTACAACCGTCTATACCTACATGTCTCCAGTCATTGCTCAGATACACTGTGATTGTTGCTGTTGCCAGTAATTTCAGGTTAATGTGCATGTGTGTCTCTAAGGGTGTGGCGGGTGCTGGACGTTCCCAGGATGATGCCATGGTAGACTATTTCTTCCAGCGGCAGCACGGTGAACAGCCTGGCAAACATCGCTGGCCCACTGGAGACAACATCCATGACAGCCAGGTGTGTATGTGTTAGTGTTGCAAAAAGACAGATTCCAGTGCAGCACTGTTAATGTGTCGTATTATATTTATTAGTGTTATTTAAGTCACGCCTTAGACTTATTGAGATAATTACACTGTCTGTTTGGAAACTACTGTTTCTAACATGTGAAAGTATTGGGTTAAGATAAAGGGTAATGTTTTTCATAGTTTCAGTTTTCATTTTCAAGACACCATCTGTAGTAGCAACTTAATGTTAAAAAACTAACATTAGATCTAAATTGATATCAATTAAAAAAAGATCTCTTGTGTATTCAGTTTCAGCTGCTTTAATGTGTTTGAGCAAATCATATTAATTACTATTTAACTGAGCTAATTACGGTTTAAACTATGTTTGTACAGTAATTGAGAATGAAACACACGGTGTCACGCTTTCAATGTGTCACTGATCTTTGCGTCTGCAGGTACGATCCATGGACGAGTTGAACCATGACTTTCAGGCTCTGGCTTTGGAGGGGCGCGCCATGGGAGAGGTGAGACATTAGGGTTAATGGTTGTGGTTGTGTAAATGGCTTGTAGACTGAACATACCTTTCCTGATGATAATGTAGCTTGTGGGCTGTGGTCACTCATGACATGTCAGTACAATGTTGATTTAAAATAAGTGGATTTGATGAGGTCAGACGTTGCGTCACAATTTGACATAAAAATGGCTGTGTTATGTCACTTAACCACGTAGCTGAAAACACTTGATTCACATATTGATTTAAAGATCAATTACCATGGCAACAGCTGAAATTTGAATAATAGGAAATCTAAGAAAAGACATGGACAAGTCGTTTGGTGAAAGACTCTGGAGCTTAAAGTAGCGTGGACTTTTGTTTGCATTGTTTTTCTACAGATTAAAAGCTCTGAAAAATGAGAAGAGTCTGGGCTCAGATGCTTTTTAATTTGAACTGGTTGGACTGGCTGTTGGGATGTATTAAATGCAATCAATACTGGGTTGCTCTGTTAGTGCTGGACCAGCGCCTAAAATATGTTTGTCTTTTGTTGGTATTCCATGCTTGTTATGTATTCAAGTGGTGTTTTCTGTTATAGCTATGGGCTGTAATATGTTTGAAACATTCAGGAAAAATAAGTCATCACTTTTAAATATACAATTTCAAACTAGCATATCAGTTTAGATTGATAAAGGTCCCTCTGCATTTAAGTTTTGTTGTTTCCTGTTGCTAGAAGATACTGCTCATTGTGGTTTACAGAAACAACAAACGTTTTATTAGGGGAATGATGCAGACTAATAAAACATAAAAAGATAAGGAGAGAAATGCAAACAAGCTACTGATAAAATGCTAGAGTGTACTCAGTAAATCCAAACTCTAAAAACTACTTAACACTATTCAAATCTAATAAATTATATTTTAAAATTAAAATAATGAGCCGTTATCTTTTTATTGTTGCTCTTACTTGAGCTGCTTTCAGACTTGCAGTGAACTACAGAAAATCTCCTGATATTCTCTGGAGGGGCTGCACGTGAGAACGCACATGTCAGAGTGAGAGGTTCCAGACTTTCTCTGGAGTTTCTTCACGAGTCAGCCCTGTAGTAAAAACTCTTGATAATGTCTAAATGAGCTGATGTGAGAACACTGCAGAAGATCCTCTGGTGGATTCACCGTGAGCGAGTGGGGTGTTTGATGACCTTTCTAACACTCGACAGATGCAAAGCTGAAAGAAACAAGGAATACAAATATCTGTACGTGCCACACACATTGAAGACAATTTTGCAGATGAGCTATGGAGACTTCAGTGTAGTGAATGTTTTTTCATGTGTGATGTGTAGGTAATGAATGACTGTACTTATCAGGGGTGTAGTCAGGCGTCAAATACTTTGAACAGTTGTGTATATTACTGTAATGCAGCACTGACTGTTTCATACTAAAAATATTATCTGGTTATGTGGTTTGTAAGTTTCTGCTCACATGCTCTGTTGTACAAATGAATCAGTTATGTAAATATTTTCTTTTGCCCATTCTTCCATGTGCTTATATCTGTTCCACCATTTTGACCTTTTTTCCTCTTCTTCACCCCTTTTCCCCTCCTGTTGTCCTGCGTCCCTGCAGCAGCTGCTAACTGGTAAAAAGTTCTGGGAGACGGATGACTCTGGGAAGGATGGACCAAAAGGGATCTTCCTGGACCAGTGGAGGGACAGTGCGTGGGGTGCCTCAGGTACCCACACGTCTGGATTGTGTTGTGTAGCAGACGGCAGGGTGTTATGGGTGCATGAATTTTGGCAGCTTTTATTTTTTGCAAGCACACTGACAAACCACCAGGGCACTCACTGTGTAGTGTCTGAGAATATATATTTAGATTCCTGTCAGATCCAAAGGCCAATGTCAAAGTGAAATCACCCTGATAGTCTCCCAGATGATGATTATATTTCTTGTACTTTGGTTCCAAAACAGTAAAATACACATGTCCGTATACTATCGATGGTATAAAGCGATCACATAAAACATCTCAAGATTCTGACCCACACTAAACCTTCAAAGAAAACAAGTAAATCCTCTCAAATATACTTTATACTCTTTGGCCCTTTTTGGAGATGCATGTGTATAAAGTACTCTTACTACAACAGCACAGTCATAAACGCTGGTGCATTTAATGTGGGATGATTATATTTTTAAATATGTTATTTAATAGTCCTGTTTCCTCTTGTTGAAGATCACTCAGTCTCTCAGCCAATAATGGTAACCCGTCGGCCAGGGCAGGGTTTCCATGGCGGAGGCGAAGTTGGTGTGGGCTCGGTGATGTCACCGCGGTCAGAGAGTGGAGGGTTGGGAGTTAGCATGGTGGAGTACGTCCTCTCCTCCTCCCCAGCTGACAAACTGGATTCCTGCCTTCGGAAAGGACCCTATGTAAGTATCTCCTCTTTCACTTTGTCAGTAAAACCACAGCCTGTCGTTATTCCTCTTTCTGTAATCAGTTTAACCGAGCAATCAGATTTTCAATAACCTTGGCTGCACACATCGGCTGCAGTTCTTCTCTCACTGTTCCTTATCAGCTGGTGGTTGTCAAATTAGGACAAGTGTTGTTCTTTCAACTTGTTCATGTCATTTTCTTCCCCTGACTGATCTGTAATGTTGTGTATTTACTGTCAATCACTGTTATGTTGTCATAACCCCCCTCTCCCTGCATCTGTTATATTCATGGTTTCTCACTGATCACACAGGGGCAGAGGGATGGAGAGGTGGAGGAAGAGAAGAGGGAGAAGCCAAAGGCAACGTTTGAGGCAGAGAAACTTAAAGAGTTGACGGAAGCTGAAGCTGATGTCATCAGTGATGTTATCAACCCCAATGGGCTGCCTGTGCAGAATGGCCTTGATGTGGATGTCAAAGAGTTTGGGTAGGACATACTCTTTCCTCCTGACTTGTTTAAAAAAAATTGTACCTTACTCTCCAGACAGCCTTCAGATGTAAATTCAACATCTTCTCACAATTGCAGTCGTCCCCCGGGCAACATGCCGGTCCCTGGCCCAGAGGGTGACCTGCTTGGGGGTCCAGGCGGTGTAGGGGCTGAGGGCATGACAACCTTAGGAGGTGGTGGAGGCCCCAAACCCCCCGAGGACTTCTCTGGTGTAGAACAGGGTGGCGTCACCATGGACCCCATGGAGTCAGTGATGGAGCCGCTTCAGTTTGACTACAACTCCCAGATGCCCATGGACTCTGCGCCCACTGTGGGTCTATTTGATTACACTAACCAGCAGCAGGTAAGAGAGTGGTGGTGGTATAGTAGAAGTATTGTTTCTGCTCCGGTGATGTTTGCAGTGTGTTTACCTGTGATTTTGCGTTCAGCTGTTTCAGAGAAACAATGCACTTGCAGTGCAGCAGTTAACAGCAGCCCAGCAGCAGCAGTACGCCCTGGCAGCAGCACAGCAGCCTCACATTGGTAAGAGAGTGTGATAATCAGTCATATGAGCAGGAAAATTCAACGTTAGCATCTCATTTGTTCATTTAGACGCATGTTTGTTTCATTTGGCTCATTATCTCACGGTGTACTCTAAGTTATATCAATTACAGGAAGGGTTCTTGTTTTTGGTTCCTCTTTTCTGTTGGTCTTTAAGTTTTTACCAGCATTCCCTTTGGTCATTAACATCATTCATTTAGTAGTAATGGGAATGGGACTGATCACCACATAGCATCATACACCACCTCACACAGCTTTACAAGTGCAACCACATTATTTAACACATGCCCCTATATTATTCAAGGGTTATTAATTAGGTTTTTATTTATTGGTCAGTATTACCAGCGACTCAATAAGTGCTGCAGTCAAGCTTTTTTATTTTGAGGACAAGAACACAGCAGTTACAAAACAGTGCTGTTATAGTCCTTTGTATATGGAGTTCAAAATTCTAAGATTTACTCAAAGACAAGTAACTGTTCTGTTTCTGAACACGCCTGAAGAAACGCAGACATTTTTTTTCACCAGCTTTATGAAGGTTTTAATTCTGCACATAAATTATTTCTGTGTATTGAATGGTAATTGTAATACTCCATGTATTATGTAAAATCTTTCAGCCCTGTCTCGCCTTTTATGTATCGTCAGGTCTGGCCCCAGCGTTTGTGCCCAATCCTTACATCATCAGTGCTGCTCCACCTGGGACAGACCCATACGCAGCTGGACTAGCAGCAGCGGCCACGCTTGGTAACATTTTCATTTTGAAACTGACACGGTGCTCTATTTAAATGCATTTAATAAGGCGTAAATAAACTGGCACAGTCGTCCCATCTCATCAGTATTTTGCATATTTGTTTGTGTTAAGGTCCGGCAGTGATGCCTCCCCAGTACTATGGTGTGACCCCCTGGGGGGTCTACCCTGCCAACCTTTTCCAGCAGCAAGCTGCTGCAGCTAACAACTCGGCCAATCAGCAGGCAGCAGGCCAGGGCCAGCAGAACCAACAGCAGGTCAGTCACTTATTTACTTATGCTAGTGCCAGTGTCCTCTTATTCTGATGATTTATTACATGCCACCCTGTTTCTCTGTGTAAACATTAACTGCTTGAGACATTCACAATATTAACTTAATCTACAGCACACCACAGGTTCTTTGCTTTAGAACAGATTTAGACAAACTATTGATATTGACATATCTTGTTTTTCTGACATTGTAAAGGTTATGCGTGCTGGGGGCAACCAGCGACCTCTGACCCCCAGCCAAGGTCAGCAGGGTCAGCAGAATGACCAGCTGGTTGCAGCAGCGGCCGTCAACTCGGCCCTCGCCTTTGGGCAGGGGTTAGCGGCAGGAGTCCCTGGTGAGTCTGATGCTCTGTAAACTGGATTTACTACTTTGGAAAAATTCCCAACAGACGCAATTACATTTGCTATTTCAACACTGCTGCCTATAAAACTCATGCTAAAATGTAACTAAAACAGCCCACAGTGTCCAAATGTACTCAGTGCTCAAGAGGAAACTGCTTGCTGAATAAATATTTCTATGCTGTCTCTTTCTCAGGGTATCCAGTATTGGCCCCTGCAGCGTACTATGATCAGACAGGGGCCCTGGTGGTCAACACTGGAGCGAGGAGTGGCCCTGTCCGCCTGATGGCCCCTGCCTCTGTCATCATATCTCCCTCCGCAGCACAAGCAGGTAACACAGCAATGCACACAAAGGCAGAGGGTGGGCTGCTTTTCTTCTGTTGTAGGAAACAGGACCGAGTCACGCACAAAAACAAGGATTACACACTGTGGTCTTTATAAACATGTTCCCAATGTGCTATCCAACCAGAACCTGCAATTAAGACATTATGAGAGTGTACCTTAGAGTCTGGTGTTTTACAAGGATTTCCCATGAGTCAGTGTGTTCACTATCAAGGGGGAATTTGGGTTTACGTCAATACTGGCATTAAAGTGAAGAATCGTTAGTGGGGTGACAAATGTGTATAATTTAATTTTTATAAGGACATTTAACTGAAGAGAAGGAGACCTATGAAGACACTTATCCTCTCATTGTACTCTCTCTTCCTTCAGTTGCAGCCGCAGCAGCATCCGCAGGTGGTGCCAATGGGGGTCTCGGCGGTGGGGCCAACGGTCCATTCCGTGCCATGCAGTCCCAGCAGCCTCAGCAGCAGGGTGGCCCCGGTGGTGCTCTAGGAGGGAGCTCCTTCTACGGATCCTCCTCCCTCAGTTCCTCCTCCCAGAGCTCCTCTCTTTTCTCTCAAGGCTCGGGCCAGCCGGGGCCCGGGTCTGCCTCCCTGGGCTTCAGCCAGCCCACCTCCTCATCCCTCGGTGCCACTCTGGGGGCTACACTGGGAGGCTTTGGTACTGCAGGTTGGAATACACATTTTCACGTACTCTGCCGTTGCTGCTGATTTTATTTATTTTATTTATATACAATGCAGAATTCCTGTTGATGCAATAATCTGATTTGTCTTTGTCTCCCTCTAGTGGCCAACTCAAGTGGGGGCAGTGGGTCCAGACGGGACTCCCTGACAGGCAACAATGAGCTGTACAAACGCACGCCCTCCAGCCTCACCCCGATTGGTCACGGAGGCTTCTACAACGGCACCTTAGGCTTCAGTCCCTCCCCTGGCCCCGTGGGCATGCCCCTGCCAAACCAGGGCCCGTCTCATTCCCTCACACCCCCACCTTCCCTGTCCAATCACAGCTCCTCGTCCAACCTTAATCTTGGTAAGTGTCTGTTTTGATTTACGTGATTGATAACCTCTTTTTTTTTAGTTATTGGCTCTATGGTAACGCTGCTGTTTTGTCAAATAAGGGTAAACAAAACAACCTGTTTACTTAACTGAGTGCGTTGGTTAATTTTGTTCTTTTGAAGTTAGGTTTTGAGTTGAATTAGTTTTACTCATCTTCAATATAAACCCTCCACGCGCCTGACTGCTTTAGTTTATGGAGACTTAACACAAATTGTGTGTTAATCTTATTTGGGTATTGACCTGAATTAGGCTGATTGTTCATAAATCATTTTTCAGCACTTGATTGCACAGAAAGTTTGTCCATGTACATGTGTAGTTTTATGTCCTAAAGTGTAATGGTTTACACACAAGTTCATCATAGCTCTAAAATGTGTTGGCAGGTTTGGAAGGCAGTGTGTTTTTGTTTAATTACCAGCAGAGATGTTTGTTCCTGTTTTTTCCATGATTGACAGTTGGAGTTGAAGTGAAGTATAATTCAAACACTCAGCTCCAGTGTGAGGAACCACAAACAAAAACCAAACTGACTGACAGAGCAGGTTTAGGTTTCATAATGACTGTGAAAGATTACCTCACCGTGGCATTTTTCAAGTCTTCAGGGTGTTTATACTTTAATAATGAAACTTAGCCTGAAACTGAGCCCTGATATCCTCAGCTAAAAGTGTAAAGAAAATAACTGGAATATGCACGTGTATGTGTATATATACATAAATCTGTGTCAGGTTTTAAAACATGCCCCAACGCCAATACCTCAAAATATGAATCTAACACATTTAAATAAATGTCAGTAACACAAATAAGTTCATCACTTATTGTTAAGGTTTTATGGGAATAACACATTTCTATCATCTGAATGAATCTTAGTTTCATGTTTTGGACACTGCTGCCATCCAGTGCTTTGTTTATGTGCTGCAGAGCTCAACTGTTATTTTCATGATTTTGTCTGGAAGCTCTTGCACGACAGTGTCAACCGTTAAAAAGTCCAAAGGAATTATTGCGCCAGTATTTGATGTTAAATGCATTGAGTCAGAGAGAGATTTTAAAGAGATCTTGTGTGACCCATGGAGAACAAATTATTAATCACTTTGTTGATTGGGATTTAGAACATATCCCTTATTCACAAAATTATCATACTTGTAAGTTATTTTGTTTGAATACAGAGCAACACATAAAAAGTCACTTGATTGCAGAATAAATAATTGGAATGAAATTAAATCTTTAATTTCATTTAAACCTGGAGAAACCCAAATGATGTCAGGAAAAATTCTGAAATAGTTCTAGATCTGAAATGATTAACCACCTCCTTTCTACAGAAGTTCAGATTTCCTTTGCTGTGTCAGATTGTTCAGTGGGTTCACATGTAGTGCGCTGTGTACACACTCTCTGTCGCAGTGTGTGCATTTTGAAAGGGCAGAGTTGTCTCAAATCAAACAAGGCCATTGTGCACTCACTGGAAATGACGATCGCAACATTTGTACATGAGTGTCACTCACATAAGTATCTCCTCATCAGCGGCTCATTGAAGTGACTCAGTGACGCCTGTGTTCAGCTGTTAACACTGAGCATTTGTACAAGGGAATAAGAGCTTTTCATTTTTTATGCTGCAGCCACAAGCTTAAGATAGAAAATAATACCAGGAATTTCCATCTCAGCAAAAATAATTACCTCGTTGACAAAGTGATAACGGCAATTACATCCATATTCATTTTGGTCAGTTGTGATGTGGGGGATGGGTTTAGTTCGAACTCCTTGCTGTTGTTTGCAGGTTTTAACTCATGTGAACTGTTAATGTTTGCATGGGATGAGACCGTGGATTTAGCAGCTCAGTAGTTTGACATGAAGTCTGGTGGGGTTTGACCTCCACCTGGTTTGAGCCTCTTTTATTTATCGTACGCGAAAAGCAGAATTAGGCCAATAAAAAGTGTATTAGGGAGAAAGATAGACAGGCACTGGAATAGATTTGGGGACAGTATGCACTTAAATAGGATTAATTATTGCGTTCATCAAAGAGAAAGTGTTTTGAACTGTTTTTAATATGGATCAAACAAAGTCGACCTGAAAGTTTGGTGATGTGCACATAATAAATACATGTATGAAATAATTTGTATGTTCATAGTTCATGCCCTCTCATCTTGTACACTTTGACTTAAGTAATTATTTGGCTTTGTACACATCGTCTTTGTTTTGTGGATGCAGGTGGTCTGACCAATGGCAGCGGGCGTTTCATCTCTGCTGCGCCAGGAGCGGAGGCCAAGTACCGCAGTGCCGCCAGCTCAGGCTCCTCCCTCTTTTCACCCAGCAGCCAGCTGTTCCCGTCATCACGGCTACGCTACGGCATGTCAGACGTGATGCCGTCGGGCCGCAGCCGCCTGCTGGAGGACTTCAGGAACAACCGCTACCCCAACCTGCAGCTCAGAGACATTGCCGGCCACATCATGGAGTTCAGCCAGGACCAGCACGGCAGCAGGTACACACAAATATCAGTCTCGCTTCAAATACACGGGACAAAGAAGAAAACAAAAAAATCAAACTGCAGACAGAAACGTGATGAGGAATCGTGTAAATCTTCAGTTTGACCCCGTGTCACAGTCCTGTAAGACAGCGCTGGACAACATGCGTGGTTAAGTTCAGTGAACAACTGCAAGGATCAGTGGCCATGTCTCTTTTCTGTTGACACAACACGAACAGGCTGAATCTGCTGTAAAGCGACGACCCTCAGGAACATCGCATTGTGTTTATATTCTCCACAGAAGGCACCATACTTCAGGTTCATGCTCAGTTCAGGCTGGTATATTGCATGATTACATAAACACAATGAATGTAACATTAATATTTCAGACCCGGTCTCCTTTTGCAAACAGTTTGCTCTGTGTCTTGTTGCTGCTTTAGTCTGTACATCCTCAAGTATATTTTTTCATTGATAACAGTACAAATGGCGTCATTGATGGCTCACCAGATGGCAACTGATAGCAGCAGGGGCCCGGGAGGCCACTCTGGGGTCCTGGTTTCTGGGGCTGTCTGGGTTGAACCAGCAAATACAGACTTGAATGAAATGATCTATTAATACACCATGACGTCCAGTCTGCACAATCCAGACATTTTCTCTCCTCAGTCTCTTCAGCATCACTGTCCTTGTTTATCTCTGCCTGGCATCCATCACTTCACCTCACAGGCTGTTTGGTTCCGTCAACTCCGTCTGTGTTTTGCTGTCTGATTGTTCCCTCAGGTTAAAGATGCAGAAGCATCTCTCTCTCTTTGTCTTTGTACATTTGTCATTTTATTGCCACTCTCTGATGATACGTTTATTTTTTTATCTCAGGTTCATCTAAAGCAGAGCAGGCTTCACACTTCCTCATATACATTGCAAAAGCTTATGGAAATGAAGAATAACAAAACAAGAGGGTGCAAAACTTATGTGTGGAATTTAATACAGCAGATATCTGTGATAATGCAATGCTTATCCTCTCTGTCTTAAAGGTTTATCCAGTTGAAATTGGAGAGAGCCAGTTCAGCGGAGCGCCAGCTTGTCTTCAGTGAAATACTCCAGGCTGCCTACCAGCTTATGGTGGACGTCTTTGGAAATTATGTCATCCAGAAGTTTTTTGAGGTGTGTGAGAGAAACTGAAAAGTTGGTGATGTGTGTAATTTGTGTCCCTAAGATTTCAATAAGTGCAGTGTCTGTTCTAAACCTTTCTGTTTGGAATGGGCTGTTTGCTTGGTGGTAATTCTGATTGTAGCTTTTGTTCTGAAACTGTAAAAATGACCTGCAGTAATTGAACCGCAGCAATAAAAGACCGGCTGCAGGACTAGTCGACAGAATCTTGAAGCTGCACCACCGCTGCTGCACAAAGAGCTGTTCACCTGTTGTATTTTTTAAAGTTCAGAGAAGTTCGACTCAGAACCTTGAACTCTAAAATCATCTGTTGTGATTGAGTCCCAGCTGCCACTGCCACAGAGCGCTGGTGGCATGTTCTTTCAAAATTGATCAATATTGAACGTATCCAAATCGCATCTAATTCAACACTTTCTTTCTTTGGGCCCTTAACAACACACAGGCCAAGTGTGACGCTGATGAGATGAACGGTTCTCCTGATGTGAGCCACATACAGATTTCTGGAATTATTAGATTCTGTCCTACTACATCCTGTGGCCTGTGTGAAATTGCGTTATACGTGGTATTGTGTCCCTTATTACTCAATGGATTGGAGGATTTACAGGCTTATTTTGTGTGTTTTAGTTTGGCAGCCTGGACCAGAAGCTGGCTCTGGCAGAGAGGATCCGAGGTCATGTGCTGTCTCTGGCCCTGCAGATGTACGGCTGCAGGGTCATTCAGAAAGCTTTGGAGTTCATCCCCTCGGATCAGCAGGTCATTGTAAGTACGCTAATATTCATTGGTCGGTATCAGTGGGTCAACAAGGGAAACAGAGCGGACCTTTGCCCTAAAATCACCTTAATTAAACACATTCTGCCCATAACACTGCTGTGATTCAGTTGTTAGTCAGAAATTATGTAGTGAACTAATCTTATGCCCCAATTTCAAAGCATACTTGTTATCTATGTTCCTGTAATTCACATATGTAAGAGGGCATTGTTCAAGGACCACTGATCTGTATTTATATAGAAAATGCAGCTTTGATAAAGAGCTGTGCTTCTCACGCTTTAAAGGCATTTTTATCTACTTTATGGGTTTTTGTGTTAGAGCTGCCTCGAGTAGCAGCAGGTTCCTCACAGGCGCTCTATCATCCACGATGAATGAGGCTAATGATACCACAGTTTCTATGTAAATGTTGAACTGCAGGTGTTAAGATAAATCCAGCTGAATTTCAGCATGACATAGTTTTGCTTGAAATTTTGAAAAAGGTTAGAGTGGGTGAGTGCTTGTAAGAGAGTGAGAGAGAGAAGTATCCATATCTCCTTAATGATCCGCAGTAGATTTCTTCAGGGTGCCTGTTTAAAGCCCAGTGTTACTTGTGGGGCTCTGAGCCACTGTGAAAAATGAAAAAGCTTCCTGGCAATATTTGATTTCCTCACAAACAATTATACGTCCCTCTCCACATTCTACCATCCTCATGCTTTCCTCCTCCTCCTCATCATCCTCTTCCTCCTTGTCATCATCGCTCTCCTTCTCTGCAGAGTGAGATGGTGCGGGAGCTGGATGGCCATGTGTTGAAGTGCGTGAAAGACCAGAATGGTAACCATGTGGTGCAAAAGTGTATTGAGTGTGTCCAGCCTCACGCTCTGCACTTCATCATAGACGCCTTCAAGGGACAGGTGAGTTCCCTGTGCACGCGAACACACAAAAAATATTTCCACATTCAATCACCGAAGCCTGCCGGTGCTTGGCTGACATCCACACACACATATTCACTTGTGTGTGCACATACACTGTCGCTGCCTTGAGGCACCGAGCATATTGTCACCGTCAAAGTACATATCCAGTCTTTTCCAGGCACCGGGTACGTTGCCATGGCAACAGGAACCTCAGCCCAGTGGCAACAGCCATCTTCTATCCACCAGCTAAATGTTACATTAGCATAAACTGTTTAAAGAAAGATTTGTGTGTTCATGCATGCGCTTTCCGTTAAATACAAATGAAACGTTTTCACTTTTGCCGATTTCATGCTGTGTGTTTTGACGGTAAAATTCACCAATGTGAGTGCTGTGCTTCTCGAACATTTCCGTGTTGTGCAACTGAGTGTTTTCTACTTGGTGGCTCAGATTTGTTTGTGTAGCTGAAAACAGGTCAGGAATTTGTTTTCACCTGCCCTGCAGCAGAGGGCTGGGTGTGTGAAAGTATGTCTATAATCATTTCCTGCAAAAATCCTGCGGGACTCTTCTCTGTTAGCGAGAAAAGTTTGAGCAAAGGTTTTCCATTTTGTGCTCAAGCCAAAAAAACAGTTCATACTGTTCTTAAACCCTTTTGATCAGTTATTATCCTGGTCTCGTTTAAAAGATACTCCCCCCATTAAAAAAAGGTAATTGACTCATTTTCCATTGCAAGTCAAAGACTGTCTTGCTCTTTTTTCTCCGTCTCGCCCAATTAAAGTGTTCACTTGGGTGTCACGTTTCCATCACTGCAAATCTGAGATGATTAAAACGCATGTTAACTTTAGATTTGTTTGACCGGGGAGTGAATGTCGTTTGATGAGGGTTTGACCACTGGAGAGATTTCAAACCATCTATAACCTAACATGGTTGTGTGAAGACCAAAACACCTACAGTAGTGCTACCAAGGCTAAGCGTCCCATATGGAAAAGTGTATTTTAATGTGTGTGTGTTTGTGTAATGCCTAACCCTGTATAATAACCTGTGTCTCTCAGGTTTTTGCCCTCTCCACTCACCCTTACGGCTGCCGAGTCATCCAGCGCATTCTCGAACACTGCCTTCCTGAACAGACTCTGCCTATACTAGAGGAGCTCCATCAACACACAGAGCAGCTAGTGCAGGTAACGCACACAAAGTAGCTCTCAGTTCTCCATCTTTTCACTTCCATCAGTGTCATTCTCAGTGCATTTCCACCTCAAACTGGCTTATAGAAAGCTTTTCACTGAGCCTCCAGATTTTTGAAGTTGGCTGTGTTAGATGTGACGTCAGAGGCACCAGCTGTCCTCCTCACGTTTTAATTCACATGCCTGTGTGGTTTGTTTAATTCAGGACCAGTACGGAAACTATGTGATCCAGCACGTTTTGGAGCACGGCCGAGCTGAGGATAAGAGCAAGATAGTGGCTGAGATCCGAGGCAATGTGCTGGGACTTAGCCAGCACAAGTTTGCCAGGTAAAACCCAATAGAAATTCACAAATGCAAAGTTTCACTTTTACTTAATTTCTCCAAAAGTACATTAAAACTTAAGTTTTGGTTTCTCCTCTTCATTTAAACTGACCTTATTGCATTTGTGTCTGTCCAGTAATGTGGTGGAGAAGTGTGTGACCCACGCGTCGAGGGCAGAACGGGCGGTGCTGATAGATGAAGTGTGCAGCCTGACCGAGGGCCCCCACAGTGCCTTATACACCATGATGAAGGACCAGTACGCCAACTACGTGGTGCAGAAGATGATCGACGTGGCTGAGCCCACCCAGCGCAAGATCGTAATGCACAAGGTGAGTAGAAAGATCTAAGTGTAACTGCTGTTCGATATCAGTATTAAACCACCAGCACAGCTTATTATGGAAAACATCATAAATCAGATCATTTTATTCAGACAGTGCTTTTATATCTTACTGAACCTACATTAATACCACATTTAAAAGATCTTATTTCAACATATGACTACTATTAGTGGGTTATAAAGTAAATGTGTTCAAAGCAAAGACCAATGATATAGGTGGTTAAGTTCTGCCTAAGTTTCTCTATCAATTCAGATGTTACTCATAGATAACTCTATATGCACATTGATTAATTGGACACACTCATTTGAAAATTAACTGAAAACTGAAATGAATACAGACACACCAGAGGACATGTGGGAAGACGTATGCACTGAAGCACTTCTAATTCAACCAATTCAAATACATGGAGGGAATCCAGATGGAAGGTAATTATCAGAATAAATAACGGCTTAAATATGCCTAACTAAATTAGATGTTTGTTACACAAATTGCCAACCATACCCTCAATGGTATTTTGGTCGTCATTCAATTCCCTGAACGTTAACATTGACCACGTGTGGAGGAGATCTGGGAGGACCACGATTCAGCTGACGTCCTCTGAGCCGCTACAGTTTCCCTATGAATCTTCAGTATTTTTTACGCTTCTCATTGCCCATACATTGATTTTATTGTGACCTCTGCAACAATATCAACACTGACAACCACATTATTTTATCAGATGGGTAAAATCTTACTCTTATTTTAGAGTTGTTTTCAGTGCATTGATTCACACAGCCCCTCAGGACACATTGGAATGCAGGGTGTGAACAGACCTGGTATTAACTTCCATCCTGAGAGGTCTGATCACAAGTGGTCAGCATTAAGTACGTGTGTTCACACTTGGTATTAAAATGAATCCTGATTGTGTCTCCTGTGACCACATGTGATCTGATCTCACTTCTTCGCTCTATATGCAAATGGACACGACCGTCATTTCTGTTCTCAAGACCAAATTATATTTTTACCCACTCTGAGTAAACAGATGTGTCCGCTGTCTCTGTGTTTGTGTAGCGGTGCGTATGTCTGAGTGTTTCAGTCTGAGAGCGAGGAGTGAGGAGAGACTGAATGACAGCAGCTGTGCTTTGAAGAAAGATCCTAATGAGAAAAATATAAATCAATATTCGTTGCTCAGTTTGGTGGCAACCAACAATAACATGGACACTGAGAAGCATAACATTTTTTGATTCAGAGCAGAACTGCAGGAGGCTTTGAATTCAGTGATGTTAAAGGTTTCCAAGGCAACGACACAGAGGCTGACTGAAGCTCAAGCGATCATTGATTATGGGCGTAGCTGTTTGATGATGATGTTGTGAGAAAAAACAAACATGTGTTTTTTAAAGTGTACTGAAAATGTGTCTCTGTCCAGATCCGGCCCCACATCTCCACCCTGAGGAAGTACACCTACGGAAAACACATCCTGGCCAAGCTGGAAAAGTACTACATGAAGAACGGCGTGGACCTGGGTCCCCTCTGTGGCCCACCTAATGGCATCATGTGAACCAGTTCCCCCTCCCCCTTTGCTTGAAATCACGTCTACCACCTGATATAACCCCCCCCCTCTTCCCCTGACCTCCAACCTTCACCTCACCTCCCCCCCATGCAGTCCTGTCTGCCAGCCCCACCCTCCTGTCCTTGTCTGGCCCTTCAATGGCGCAACTCCCACTTTCACCCTCCCCATCCTACTCACCAAGGACGTGGAATAGCCCTCGTACCCGTTTCCATGACAACCCCTCGGGAGGAGCCTGTTGCTATGGGCAGCCTTAGTTTTTGTGAGATTTTGTCGCTCCTCCCCCGCCCAAGCCCAACGAAGGAAGGATGAATGGCGGGAGGGTTGGAGGGCAGGGAGTGGAGAGAGAGGTGAGACCTGTTCGATTCCTCACTCCACTCCCTTCAATTTTTTTTTTTTTTTTTTCCATTTTCTTCTGTTCTTTATTTCTGATGAACTGAGAAATCATTTCACCTTTTTGCTACTGCTGCATACACAATCCTAGTGTCCCACCCTCCTCCTGCCATCCTAGCTATTTACCACTATGAGATGGAACGAGTATTTAATTTGTCTGACGTCACAGAATCATAGATGAACACACACTTGCCATCAGCTAACCAGCAGACAGATCATTTAGCATGGGAGATTCGTTTTCTGGTCTTGCTTCTATAAATATAACGTGTATACTTGGTGTAGACCTTTGCATATATATATAAATATATATATAAAACTTTGTAGTTTTTCTGGTTTTTGATGTTGAATCTGTATCTATAATGTATCCTAGTAGTGACCACATACTTCTGACTGTATAATTGTACATTTGTAAACCCTTGTAATGTAAAAGTGCTTTACCACCCTTTTTGGTATGAGAAGGAAAAAAAGAAAAAAGCTCACTCTGGAAAAAAAAAATCTTAGGAAAAAAAAAACCCTGTGCATTTCAGTGTATATTCTCACCTCCTTGGTTGTGACATATGAGTTGTTGTATATTGTAAATTGTAATATCAAATTTTTGTTTTGAAAAGCCCTTTCTATACAGCGTAGTACTTGTACAAAGATTCGCCACGCTTGGTTTTATCTTTATCTCGTCACTGCTTAACTTAAGACTTCGATCTCCCACTGACTCCCAATCGGACACATTATGTTAGACTTTGTGGTGTCTTCTGGTTTATGTTGAATGAATTTGTTTATTTTTTTCTCTTTTGACCTTTTTTTTAAGATCTTTTTATAATAATGCATTACCCCATGAAATGTGTCATGTGTATAGGTATGCTGACTGGGCGGGAGAAGTAACTTTTACTCATTTAACCCCCCCACACCCCCTGATTATCCATGACTGTTTTCAGGGGTAAACCCGTGGATTGTACAGAGGATATTCTTGTGTTTTTTGGCATTTCTCTAGTGCTGTAAGTGCTGTATCATACTGTCCATGTCCTTTTGGGTGAGAGAGGCAGCCCGCCACAGCGCGGTGTACATTTGGAGCAGCCTTGTGTATATTTACTACGAGCACACCTGTAACCATATGTGTATAGTTAACAGAACCTGTGTATGCTTATTGCCTGGGCAACTATTTTTTGTAACTCCTGTTGTAGATTGTCTCTAAACAATTGTGTGATCTTTATTTTGAAACCAAACTGAACAAAAAAAACTTTGAAAATTTAACTGTCTCATGCGTCCTTCATTGTATACACAGACATTTTAACATCATTGGTTAAAACCCTTGAGATGTATCCAGGGAAGATACAGCTGGAAAACAAACAAGATGAAAGTTAAAACATTCCATCAAAAGACAAAATGAAAGCAATCTGAAAAAATAAAGAAAGGGGGAAATACAAGAAACAGGAACAGGAACATAAGTACTGAAAACATGAGCAATTTAGTTTGAAATGAGAAACCAACACATTTTTGAATAAGTTAAATGACAGAATGGATATTTGAAGGCAACTTCTTCCAATTGGATGGAGCCCAGAACATTAAATTGTTTTCATCAACGTCCACAGATACAAACGGCACCATAGTCTGAAAAGAGCTTCTTGGTGAGTAATTAGGTTTATAAGGAACAAAACAGGAAGGAATTTCAAATTAATGCATTTGGAAATAAATTGAAACCAATGAATTTAATGCCTTGTGACTATAGGGAGCCACCTGAGTGTGTCTCTGAATAATGGTGTGTAAAGAATGAACAACCAAATACAAATCTGCAGAATCTATATATTAAGGGGATAAAGAGTAGTTTGAGGCATTCTGGTCTATCAATAAGAACTTGTGAAACGAGTGTCTTCCGCACATTAAATGTAAAACAATGCCTGAAGCGATACAGAATACCAAAACCAAAATGTACTATTTTGTCTGCTTCATACCGACTCAGTGCCACAGTGCCTGCTCCAGTCATCTGAATGAACGTCTCTGCAGTGATACAACATGTGACTACACACAGCCTGAGTCAGAGGGCAGCAGGGCACTCGCTCCTGATGCTCCACTTTCTCCATTAACTTGATTAATGAGAGCGACTCCTTAACATGCCACAGCTCTGACTAATGACGACCAACAATTGTGATCAGCTACATTAATGACTGCTCCCAGCAAGGAACAAGTTGTTTCAGTCGTTGGATACCAATGACTCAAAAGCCCGTCCCTGGTTACATTTTCCAGATAATTACTTACATGAGTGGTGGTGAAAGGCTTCCTATCATCAAACCAGGTGCAGAGGTGAAAGGCTACTGGTGTTTGAGGAGCGGAAACAAAGGACAAGTTGCTCCATGCAACGGTTGAAAACACAGATAATCATTGTTTTGACATGAGTAATGAGTCTCACTGTGGTGTTGAACAGGTATCTTATCAAAACACACCTTCCCTTCTTTGGGGTGTTTCAGATTTATCTTTTGAAGGAGTCAGGAGGACAAAATAAACCTGTTCTTACCTGTCTGGCAGTTGTTTGGAGCATGCTGGGCCTAAATGGATACAGGAAGGATGTTACTCTGAAAAACAAGTCGGACTGGGTGTGATGTCGGCAGCAGTTATCCCGTGGCTTTGTTGATTCTTTAAAGGAGATAATAAAGCCGGTGAGGGTGTGTTACCTGCAGTGATTTTTAAACCACCTGGAGGCTGCAGTATAAGTTTTGGCTGAGGGAGGCTCATTAGACCTGTGGGCTGTTAATGACCAACCATATACAGTATAAGAGTGGTCAACTGTGCCTGGGCCCTGAACTCACAGGAGCCCCAAAGGCCTGTATATATTGTGTGTCAGCTGCTTTTGCAGTAATTTGATTTATTGCAATGTTATATGGGAATACAATATACAGCAGGTGGCTGCAAGGTGGGCCCTGCTTTACCTTATTGTCTTGCAGTCTGGCAGAAGGGAAGGGCCTCTTCATACAATGCATCTATTATTAATACATTTGTGTTCAAACACATTGACCATAGGTGTAAATGTGAGTGTGATTGGTTGTTTGTCTCTGTACGTTGGACCTGTGATACGCTAAGACCGGTCCAGGTTCTACCTCAACTCTCTCTTTCGAAAGCTGGACGCCATGTCAGTTTCCCAAAAGTGAAGCCAAATCATCTTGAACGCCACCTGGTGGCTGGCTGCGGTATGTCATAAATCCTGCATCCTGACATTTGAATGTCGGGGCCCACGGACATCACAGGAGGAGTATGGAGACATTTTATGTTTTGTTTTTTCTGTTGTTTTTTTTACATTTGAAAAAGTGCTCGCCATTTACTTTAATTACATTTAACTAGATTTGGCTGCAACAGTGAAACTTAGTGGACTAAACCACTTCACCCACCCCTCCACCCGCAGTAGATAATGAGTGAATTTTCATTTTTGAGTGAACTATCCCTCTGATTAAGCCAGATTCAGACATGATCTCATGGTCAAATCATGTAAACATGAAGTCCAGTGCATGTCTGAAAGCTTCAGACTTCACCAGCGTTGTAGCTACAGCATCGACACAGAAGATCCAGTGAGGAACTTTTCGGAACATTATGTCACCGGTTTCATCAATGTGAAAATAAGATGGCCACCTTGAGTCAAGAGCTTTAATTGTCTCTGTTTGCACAGTGACTTTCAGGCTCAAGTCATTAAGCTCAATTAAACAAACATGTCTCTCTAGATGTCAGGTGTGAGGAGGTCTCCATTTTGATTAGTGGTATAGTTTTTATGCGTTGACAAACCACGCGCTGTGATTCTTCACGGTTAGCCCCGGCTGGTTGCTAGGAGACACAACTAGGCTGCACGGCGCGAATAAATATTAATTGTGGTTACGTAGACTCAGGTGTCAGCTCGCGCTCCGACCGTGACTCAGCCAATCACAGCGCAGGAGAGCGGCTCTGAGGCGGAGGTGTGTTAAATGGCGCGCGGCCAACCGGAACCACCTGAGCGTGTGTGTGTGTGTGTGTGTGTGTGTGTGTGTGTGTGTGTGTGTGTGTGTGTGTGTGTGTGTGTGCGCGCTCGTGGGGCTGCGGGTGCCTAAACGAGCTGCAGGGGGCATCCTCACCCTTGCTCGCGGAGATCCCCCCCCCTCTTACAGCCTCTCGCCTGCTTGCTATGCTGGCAAATACGCGTGAACCAGCTACAAGGTATTTCACCCCTGAGGAACCCCCCCCCCCACACACACACCATCTCCTCTCTCTAAACACACACACGCGCACACACACTCAGCCTCCTGCCAGACTCCCAGGCCAAACAGCGTCGCCATACGGAACATCCTGCCCTCAACGGAGAGGGGGAGGAGAGAGAGAGAGCGAGGGTAGAGAGAGCCTTGAGTGTATAGAGAGAGAGAGCAGGAGAGAGAGATAGAGAGGAGGTCTGGCGTCTCCCGGTACTAACTATCGGGGCTGGTGCACATAAACTCGCAGGAACAGACGGAGCGGAGGCACCGCCGCTTCAACCGGTGACCGGGAGCAGCGCGTGAAGCCGTGGATTAAAAACAAGCAGACCGCAGACAGAGGGTCGCTCGGATGTGAAGTTGGACCGACTACCGACACTCACCGAGAGCAGGCGGCAGCGGCGGAGGCTTTTGTTCACCCCCTCACCTCCTCCTCCTTCCCCCGAAGGCAGCGGCGGCACCGGGAGGCTGTGCACGCGCGCCCCGACCATGAAGCTGCCTTGGCTGCTTGCGCTCGCGGCGCTTCTCCTCGCGCACACCGCCGCGGTAAGCACGAGCCTCATTCACTCACTCACTCACTCACTCAGATCCTTTGTTAACCGGGCAGCTCCTGTGTGTGCACCATGGCATTTTGTGTGTGTTTGTGTGTGTGTGTGTGTGCGTGCGCGCAGCTACTATTAACGAGACAGTGGTTCTCGGTGATCGGTAGGAAATCCTCCACTCGACCTACATAAGGCGATCAGCCCCTCATTGGACGACCGTGACTCCCGTTAGGGGGGCTGGAGACTCCCGTGCACCCCTGCCCCCATGCAGCTCTTACGCACACACACACACACCAGCCTTTGTGTCTCACTGTCGGGGTTTATTATGGCCTGCATCCCCTCGAGTCAGGGGAGACTGTGTGTGTGTGTGTGTGTGTGTCGGTAATTAGCGGGTTATCTCTAATTGAGCTTGATTACGGGTCTTTGTGCGGTGCCTCGGTCTGTGGTGTCTGTGTCACCAGCTCACATCCTGCCGTTAATTCAGAGAGCCGGCTCCTACTGCGGCTTTAACGACTTTAGTGTGTGTCTCTGTGTGTGTGTGTGTGTGTGTGTGTGTGTGTGTGTCCGATCGCCACCTGAGAGGTGCACGCTCCATTTTTAGCCAGATCTTATTGTCCAGATGCCAGAATCCAACCGGGGACATTCTCCCGTCCCGTCCGTCATAACCGGAGGCGTGTGTGTGTGTGTGTGCGTGCGTGCGTGCGTGCGCATGTTCGCAGCAGTGTGTGTCTGTGGCTAAATGTGGGTGGGGTAACGGGGAAGTTAACGGCGATGCGGTGCGCGAACGAAGGCTCTGTTGGAATGATGTCATTGGGAATCGCGACGGGGAAGCTGATTAGGAATGCGCGAACCCCCCCCTCCTCCTCCTCAACACACACACACACACACCTCCCCGGAACCATCCTCGCCGAGCTTCACGCGCCCCCCCCAATAGCGCGCCCACACCTTCCGTTGCCGATGGATCCAGATTTATCCCATGAGAAGGAGGAAGCTCATCGAGTCATTGAGAGAAAAAGAGGAGGGCGAAGAAAAGATCAAAACACAAATCTAGAGTTCAGTGTAAATGAAGGAGAACACATCAATTCCCTGTGTGGCACAGGAGCTCGGCTGAGTTTGTAGTATTATTTATAACTGCACGAGGCTTTAGCTCCGTTATTTTCACATCTGCTGTGCTCAGTGTAAAAAGTACAGCACCTCATTGTATTCAAGTGCAGTGTAACCTATACTCCCTCTGGAATAATACTTAAAGTAAAGTTGGACCCTTCAACACAAAAGTTTCACTTACATGGTTAAATCAAATTAAGCCAAAAGAAATCAATACACATAAGTAATGGTACTGTTTTAGTACTTGGACTATATTTATTCAGCATTTTCCAGTCTTTTCAACCACTCTGAGCCCCTTTACAAGTTGTTTTAAACTCAATAAGTGAAGTTTGCTAATCTGAAATTTCATTAATCTAAACAGATCCTTATGCAGAATCTGTAAGTGAGTGACAAGATCTTGGGGCTGGAAGCCCTCTGGTATTCAAATAAGCAAATATTTCAGTGGCCAACCTTCGCCATCTGTTCACTTTCAATCTGAGAGTGATTTGGCGAGAAAACTTTCGCTTCCTGTGGCAAAGCAAAGTGCAGCGCGGCCAAAAAAAAGTTGAAGTGAATATTGCAAGTCAAAGTTCACCAAAGTTTAAACCCCACGCTGAGATATCTTAGCCATGATGGGAAGTGAATGGGAGGCTTAGGTTCCCCACTGACACATTAGCGTAGGTCTGACCGGGCCCTTAGCATGGAGTTCAACTTTAGTGAACTTTGACCCACGGTATTCATGTGTGTGTGACTGAGGCCTAACAGTCCGTGTGGTGAGCAAAAGAGGAAGAACACATGGAACGAAATGCAGCAGTTATCAGATTTTGACTTTATTTGCTTTCATAAGCAGATAACTTACATAGAGGTCAGCCAAAATAGCCCCTGGACCTAAAACACACAAAATATCACTGTTTGTGTTTTGTGAGGTGAAACATTTGACTTGTGTGAAGAAGGAAACCAGTCGGACGGTCAGTGACAGTCTTGGCTCAAATATCTGCTGGGTACTCCGGAAGCTCCAAATTACTGTCAGTTACTGCCAGAGGCAAATTTGTGATCAGACGATAGCAGAATAGCTTCGATATTGAAGTTGCATTTACCCACTCACACAAACAGAGCTTCTGTATGCAGAACTTTTCTATCACCCATTCATACACTGTTCTCACAGCCATCAGTGGCAATTAGGGCTACTTTGTCTTGCCAAAGGACACTTCAAAATGCAGACTGGAGGAGCCAGGGAGTGGACAACCCACTCTACCACCCAAAAACCTAGAATACAACTGAAGCCCAGTATCATACTGTATATCACTGGCCAAATAAATAACTGCAATGTGGCACAATCACACTTCTAAGTGCACAGATTTGAGTTGAGCAGAGACACATTTTTCAATTCCCTGTCTGAATTCTGGATTATTATCTCGCTCACTCAGGGAAAACAGCTTTTGACCCAATGTTTGTACTGTCAACATCTTGGAGCGCTGTGATACTGCTCTGGTTTGTCAGAGGTTTTCAACACTACACACACAGACACAGTGATTATTATGGGGTCAGTCAGTTGCAGTCTTTGCCAGAGATCCTTGGCCTCCAGCTGATCTAATCTGTCTTGAAGTGTACAGATGGAGACAGGTGTGACACACACAGACACACACACACACACACACACACACACACACACACACACACACACACACACACACTAAAACACTGTTAGCAGAGCACAGATGGGTGCAGGTGTTGCTCTTATAGGTAACACTTGTGACTATATAAGTCTTGATAATTGCAAGACTCACCTCAAGCAACCTAGTTGTTGAAGACACACACACACACACACAGAGGGTTGTATGTATTTGCTGTCAGGATCTTTCTTTAGAAGCCTTTTGGCTTCAAACCAAGTCCCTCTTGCGTGTGTGTGAGAGTGGTCTTTAGTGTTGTGTCTTTTTGGATATTTCCTGTTATCAAAGTTGTGACATCATATCCGTGCGGCTGTATTTTACATGGGAGACCGATTTTCCCACAGACATCTGTTGTGTTCCACAGATAGCCTGTGTATGTGTGTGCATCCGTCCATCCGTCCATCTGTCTGTGTGTGGGCTCAAAAATAGTGAATATCCGCTGCCAAAACTTGTGCTCCTTGAAGTGTGAGTCTGTGTGTGCGTGCGGCGGAAAAAGGCGTTGTGTTCTTGAGGATCGTGTTTAAGTCGAGGAATGAATCAGTTTTTTGTGCGTCCAGCGGCAGACAAAGCCCCCCATAGAGAAGAAGAAAGAGAGAAGGAGCAAGAAACAGGAAAAAATAGCCCGGACAGGGCGGATTGAGGGAGAGTGTGGAATGCGAGAGGCAATTTGACACAGGAAGTGGGTCCCTTCTCACTCTGCTGGAGGACAAAGTCCCCCCTCACACAGTGGCACCACACATGCTGGCAGGTAGAAAACACTCCTGAGGGGGGGGGGGTATTTCAGGTGTGTGTGTGAAAGGATGGGTGATGGTATGGCGGGTCACCTTCCCTGGTGGATGGAGGAAATGAAAAGGATCACGGTTCATATCCGGAGCTGCATTCAGATGGCTGGTGTCTGGAGGTTGGACAGAGGGAGGGAGAATAATGATAGCCTTCAGTGAGAAAAACAACTTGCCCCCCCCTTCATCTCCCTGTCTCCTCCCTTTGGCTATTTGTGTAGGTGTGTGTGTTGCATATGTACACATGCTGCTCACCCATATCTGAAAGCAATTTCTTATCTCGTTGGAAGGACTGGCTTGGCAGATGTGCCGCATTTGACTGAAATTAGTTTTTCTGTCTGCTGGAGAAAGTTTCAGTGGTTTATTTGACTCGATAGAAATGGAATTTCCCATTTACTATTAGAGCGATAATAGTGTGTTAGGACTAAGAAACCTGCTCTCACAATACTTGTTATTTCAGTGTGTCATCCCTCCTAGCCGGCGGAACAATGGGAGTTCAGAATTTGCAGCTCATACTGAACTTTAACTAAAAGCTCAACTCTGTGTAGAAAACTTTATCAATTTTAATTAGGATAAAACAGAGCCCCCTCATTATTGGCCCCAGGAGAGCTCAAAAGGCTTCACTGCAATCTCCCTTTTAACCTCTAATGTCAGGCTGCATACTAATAATTTAGGCGTCACTCGTGAGCCTTGTCTTTTCCGCAGTATTCCAATCAAAAAAGTTTTGTAGCCTGGGAAGCGAAACTTGAAGCATAAGAATTCTAGAGGGGACAGATTTTTGCATCAAACTCTTAATCATTGTGAGCTCGTTGTAACAATTAAAGGAGATAAATGTGTGAGTTGAGCTGAGACATTAATACGAGCCCCAGTGTTTTCATGACTAGATGATTAGAATTGACTCCTGCCTCAGTTCATGCAGCTCGTCTGTAGATGGTTCAAAATGCTGTAATTTGGCTTGTAGCTTGTACAAGACACAGCGAGCACATGACTCCAGTGCTGGTCCCTCTCCATTGGCTGACAGATTAAAATTCAAGATAAGAATGTACTTTCCTATCAATCAGCAGCAAATGCATAATAAAGGAGGGTTTTTAGAAATGCAGGAAAATTCACCAAAAGAGTTGATTGACTTCTTCCAAAATTGTCAGTAGAGTAGTTTAACCATCTGTTTTTGTTCATCATCATGAGTGCACCAGAAACTGAGGCGCTCTCCCACCTCGCTTTCTTACTTTGCATCTTGCACAATACTGAGAAATAAATTGCTGTTGCATGTGGTTCCCAAGATGTAAAAAAAAAACAATTAAGTACACAAACGTTCATGGCTATGTTCCTGCCAGTGTGTAAACATACAGAAGTTCATTGTGCTTCATAAAGTTGGGCCAAAAAAAGGTTCAGCATCAGTGTCTAGACTGCCAAAGTAAAGAAGAAGAAATTAGCACAATCACCCGGGTGTCATTTTTCATTATTGGCGATCA